TTGGCTGCGAGTCCACCATGAGGTCCCACAGGGCGACCAAGGACTGGCCAGCTCGTACGAGGTTACTCGAGCAATGATGGATGAAGCCAACCTCGAGCGCCTGGAGCATGTGACTGTAACGATGAATGTGAACCATACACGCCGTGGAGACTTGAGCGTCGAACTGCGCAGCCCGGAAGGGCTGGTCAGCCACCTCAGTACGGCCAGAGAACCCGATAATGAGCGGGAGGGCTATGTGGACTGGACTTTTATGAGTGTCGCCCACTGGTAAGTTACTCGTCTCTTTCTCTCTTGTTGTCTTGTGCTAATCTATTCCTAGGGGCGAGTCTGGTGTCGGCAAATGGACCGTGATCGTCAAGGATACTCTTGTCAATGAGCACAGCGGTCAATTCATCGACTGGCGGCTTAATCTCTGGGGAGAGGCTATCGATGGCACCAACCAGCCCTTGCACCCCATGCCTACCGAACACGATGACGACCACGAATACGAGGACACCAGTGTGGCCACGACCAGCATTGATCCTGGCCCCGCCAAGACGCAGCCTCCCACGAAGCCTACCGATGTCGTTGATCGTCCGGTGAACGTCAAGCCCACTACAACGGCGGTACCCACTGGAACCGAGGACAAGTTGGTCTCCCCTACCGAGACTGGCGTTGCTGCTTCGCCCTCAGCCGCTTCCGATAGCTTCCTGCCATCCTTCTTCCCAACGTTTGGCGCATCGAAGCGAACCCAAGCCTGGATCTATGCCGCGATCGGGTCGATTATCGTCTTCTGCATTGGATTGGGCGTCTACTTCCATGTCCAGCGCCGCAAACGCCTCCGCAACGACAGCCGGGACGACTATGACTTTGAGATGGTTGAGGACGAGGATGAGCTGCAAGCGATGAATGGACGGTCGGCGCGCACTCGCCGCCGCGGTGGTGAGTTATACAACGCTTTTGCTGGGGAGAGCGACGAAGAGCCCCTCTTTAGCGACGACGATGAAGAACCGTACAGAGACCGGGGCATCAGCGAGGAACATGACCGTGATGGTGCAACTGGAGGACACCATCCGAGAACAGCGGACGAGTAGACTTTCTGATTGTTTGGGTCTTTACTTATTTCATGTTGCTTGATCTATGGCATTATGAGCATTATTACTCTCTTACTATTCCTTTTGGATTGCTTTGCTGAGAAGGTGTCTTCTTTTCAAGTGCATGAAAGCGAAAAGAGAAAAGCTGTATATATAGCAAGGATAGCTAACACCTCGTAATAACAATGAGGATGGTAAGAATTAGCGATGAGCTGAGAGCGATTCGTACATTACCTTGCACCTTTTACATAGTAACTATTTTCGTAACTACCCACCGATTCCACAGTCTAGTCGCTTTCGTCTCAGTTCGGGAGGGATCTTGGCAATGACGGCAGCTGCTTCCCCCCGACCACCCCGACCCTCCAGCCCTCCAACGGAACTTCACCTCCACATCCTGCGACCTGAAGCTTCTCTTCTCCGCATTACAACAATCCACCCCACTGCATCATTTACTTTTCCCATGCTGTGATTTTGGCACGCCCTTTGTCAAGCTTCAAGTCCCTAGTCAGGCACGTAGTTCCGACACAGCGCAGATAGATCCCCGCCGGCTCTCGACGGCAGCCGAACCCCTCGCTCGATGGATCACCACGACGACTTCGACAGCGTCTCGTGGCGCCACGAACCCGACAGTGATGTCTCACGACCTACAACTTCCGGAACGGACGCAGAAGAAGAGCCGCATGGATACGGTCATGATGTCAATGGCAAGCGACGAATGAGCTCCGCCCAAGAGAACACCCAAGCCGGACCAATGGCCGATGCCGTGGACCTCGCTGGGATCGGCGACGGCGTGCTCGAGTGCCGGGTCGACTCGCCTCTGAAGGAGAATGACGGCACGAAAGATGCATACATATCCTACTTGGTCACGACACAGGTGGGTGGTCCCTTCACACGCGGTGTCGCTGTCGCTGCCAGCACGGCTGCCTAGCCGCCCGGGGAGGAGGGGAAAGGGAAGAGGATGCTAGGGACAGGATAGACTCGAGTTCTAATCTACCGGCTTGTCATAGACCGACTTCAAGTCCTTCCAAAAATCCGAATTCACCGTACGACGACGATTCACCGACTTCTACTTCCTCTACAAGACGCTGTACCGCGAGTATCCCGCGTGCGCGGTCCCGCCGCTGCCGGATAAGCATAAGATGGAGTATGTCCGAGGCGATCGGTTTGGGCCGGAGTTCACCACACGCCGCGCGTGGTCTCTACATCGATTCCTGAAGCGTCTGACGTTGCACCCGGTGTTACGTCGGGCGCCGTTGCTGGCGATCTTCCTGGAGTCGCCCGACTGGAACGCTCACATGCGGTTGCGCTCATCTCGCAACTCGACCAGCACGTCCGACGGGAGTGGGGTGCCGGGCCTGTTCGACAACTTCACTGACACGTTCGTCAATGCGTTCACCAAGGTGCACAAGCCGGATCGGCGATTCATCGAGGTCCGGGAGAAGGCCGATAAGCTGGACGAGGACTTGAATCACGTGGAGAAGATCGTGGCTCGGGTCGCGCGACGGGAGTCGGACCTCGAAGCGGACTACAACGACTTGGCGACGCAGTTCCGGAAGCTGACGCCACTGGAGCCGGAGGTGGAGGTGCCGTTGCAGGTGTTCGCAGCCTCGGTGGAGGAGACCGGCCGCGGCCTCAAGACGCTCAAGGACCACACCGATCAGAATTACTTGGGCTCGTTGCGGGATATGGAGGCGTACATTGTGTCGCTCAAGTCCTTGCTTAAGACGCGCGAGCAGAAGCAACTGGACTTCGAGGCCCTGGTGGACTACCGGAACAAAGCCGTGGCTGAGCGGGACTCGCTGGCCTCGAACCCGTCGTCGTACTATGCTTCGAATCCGTTGACCTCGTCGCCCGCCTCGTTCATCCGATCCAAGATGGAGGACATGCGGGGTGTCGACCACGAGCAGTCGCGGCGCGAACGGGTGCGGAAACTGGAGCTCCGGATCGACGAGTTGACACGGGAGGTGGAATCGGCCAAGACGACGTCGGAGATGTTCGACGAGGAGGTGGTGCGCGAGGTGGCCGACTTCGAGCGGATCAAGGCGGTGGAGTTCAAAGACACCCTGGGGGCTATGGCGGAGAAGCACATCGACTTTTACCAGGGCGTGCTGAATACCTGGGAGCGATTCGTCGCCGAGATGGAGGGTGATCTGGATGAGAACGCCGGAGAAGCTGGGACCGGCCAAAGTCGCTAGCTTTGTGCGCGTTGTGTTTCATGACCATGTTGTGCGTTCCAACTCCCTCTAGGTATACTCTCTATTGTTCTATCGGACTAGCCTGTTATTTTGCTGTGCCTGCTGTGCCTGCCGTACCTGCTTATACCTCTTCCTCTGTCAATCAAGGGGGGTTTTTTTTTCATTCCATACAGCAGAAGGGGGGTGAAGAGGAGAGACAAAATGAGCTAAGCTGATGGAAAAACAATCACGACGTCTCATTATGTATATTCTTCCTCCCCCCAAGATCCATCCCCCCCCTCCCTCTTCCCAGATCTATACAACCCCGACCCTAACTCCCCAACAACCGATCCCTCACCCTCTGACTCTCCGCCCACTCCAAATCCACCGGACTCGGGTTCTGCTGCCCCACCGACGGATCCAGAACCGCCAAATCCAAGGCGCGAGTCGTTTGCCTCCGAACGAGCTTCTACAGTTGCCGTGCATTCCCCGGAGATTAGTCTTGGAGCTGCCTTTCGCTCTGAACATGACCCAGACGAAAAGGGGGATGGCCCACCTCGCGATAGATCTGATTCGGCGTCTTCGTGATTTGTGTGTTGTCCTTTGGGTTCTCGCCGGCGATCAGGCGCAGGTAGACTTCGTGGTCGTAGTCGATTTGGTGGGATTGCGGGGAGGCGAAGTTGGCGCTTAGGTGGAGGGGTTGGGGTTGGGGTTGGGTTTGGGATTTTGGTGGTGATGTTAGTGGTGATGTTGTTGTTGTTGTTGTTGTTGTTGTTGTAGATGTAGGGGACGGCGTAGATGGGGCGTTGGATGCCATAGTTTATTAGGTTAGGTAGGCTTGCGGTCAGGGTCGAGCCGGTTCCATTCAGGTTCTCATAGTCTCTGCGATATTGGCAACATGTACTGGAGGTATGGGATGAACAGTGCGACAGTATTTCACGAGCTCCGAGGAAAGGGGCCAGATTTCTTTTATTTAGTTTTCAATAAGTTTTCTAGTCTACTATCGACTCCTTCAGGTCTGCATTGCATGTCTGACGGAATTGTGGCGGAGTGAGTGCATAGGGGGGCTGTGAACGCGTATGTACATGAGTACTGGCTGGGATTGGTATGCTGGGCGTGAAAGGTCTGTTTCAAATTATTGAGTACTCAGTGTCAGTGAGCTGAGTTTTGCACCGGCATGCACAAAGAAAAAAAAGAGGAATCTTGGGCGATTATGGTTTGCCTCTGAGTCATTTGATCGGCAGGGAATGTTTTCATTTCTCCATTTCTCGGGGTTTGAGGGGTGTGAGCTTGGTGCTGGGGATTGAGGTTTGGAGGTTGCGGATGCATATTATGCAGAGAAGACAGTGAAGTCAGTGTTGGGTGGAGAGGCAAGGCACTGTGTGAGGCCTTGCGAGAGAGAAGCTGATCCCATCTTCTTGTATACAGGGTATACAGACATAGGGAAGAGTATACTCGGTATACTCGGTATACTCATGCTAATTCTGGCGCCCGCTGGTTTCTGCCACCGCCTCAATTGACCAGTCTGGCTCCACTTTTTTCCCGAGCTGTTCCTGGCGTTTTTGGCATTTCGACTCGCGAGGTTGCCAGCATTCTGCCGCCCAAGGCGGTGGTAGAGGCGGTCGAGTGTAGATGAGCGGCCGTTTGTCTGGTTTGCAAGCCATCAGCCAACATCCACCCGATTACTTCGATTCCATCCGGATAATTCCCGGTTGATGACCGCGACGTCTTCTGTTCAAATACTTCAGTCACCATGCGTGCTCTTGTACGACCGGCCACACGGCCCTACGTCTGCCCATCTTGTCAATTGGGTCGTCTTTCCGCTCGCCGCCGGTTCGCATCCGCCTCCACCCCGAGCAGCGCATCGCCCGAGATCTACGATGTCGTTTGCGTCGGCGGTGGTCCTGCAGGTCTAGGTCTGCTCGCAGCTCTACGTATGCAGTCTCAAACTTTCTATATCCCATGGACATGACCTAACAAAGACTAGGAGCTACCCCTGCTACCTCCAAGCTCAAGGTCGCCCTCGTGGAGACCCAGGACCTGCAGAAAGCCCGCTCATGGTCCCTCGATGCGCAGCACTACTCCAACCGCGTCAGCAGTCTCACACCCTCCTCCGTTTCCTTTCTCCAGAAAATCGGCGTCTGGGACCATGTCGACACAGCGCGTGTCCAGCCCTACCAAGAAATGCAGGTTTGGGATGGCGAAACCGGCTCGCGCATCACCTTCGATTGGTCCATGGAGACCTCGCCGTTCGAGGACCTGCGCACCGTCGCAACCATGACCGAGAACTCCAACCTAGTGCGCGCCCTCCTCTCGCGCATCGCCGAGTCTGGAGACGAGAACCTCTCGATCTTCTCTAATACCACTGTCTCCTCTATCGCCAACGGCTCCGACATCCCCGACGGCCCCGACCTCTCCGCCTGGCCCGTCCTCTCCCTCGCCCCGACGACCTCCTCCTCCTCCGCACCACCGCCCAAGCAGATCGCCGCCCGTCTCCTCGTTGGCGCCGACGGCATCAACAGCCCCGTCCGGCGCTTCGCCGACATCTCCACCTCAGGCTGGGACTACGACCGACACGGCGTCGTCGCGACGCTCTCCCTGTCCGACCTGGACCCGGTGCACAGCACCCCCAACATCAAGACCGCCTTCCAGCGCTTCCTCCCCGCGCTCGGCGGTCCGATCGCCCTCCTGCCTCTCCCCAACAACACGGCCAGCCTCGTCTGGTCGACCACCGTCGCCAACGCCGCCTACCTCAAATCCCTGCCCCCGCGCGCCTTCATCGCGACGGTCAACGCCGCCTTCCGCCTCTCCATGACCGATCTAACCTACATGCTCCGCATGGAACGCCCCTCCGCCACCTCTCCCACATCCACCGACTCCTCCTCCACCGTCGACCCGCACGAAGACGAACTCACCTGGCGCCTGCAATACACCCCGCAGCCCCGCAAGCCCAGCCAGCTGCCGCCGCTCGTCACCGGCGTGCAGGAGGGCAGCGTCGCCTCCTTCCCGCTGCGCTTCCGCCACGCCTCGAGCTACATCTCGCCGCGCGTCGCCCTGGTCGGCGACGCCGCGCACGTCATCCACCCGCTCGCCGGCCAGGGCCTGAACCTGGGCCTCGGCGACGTGGCCGCGCTCGCCCAGACGGTCGAGTATGCCGCCACCCACGGCATGGACGCCGGCGACCTGCTGACCCTGGAGCGCTATGCCGGGGAGCGCTTCGCGACCAACGCCAAGATCGGCGGCGCCTGCGACGTCCTGCACAAGCTGTACAATGTCCCCGGCAACGGGCCGGTGGCGTGGGCGCGCAGCTTCGGGCTGGATGTCATTGATGCGGTGCCGTTCGTGAAGGGGCTGTTGATGCGGGGGGCGCAGTGATTCATGCCTGGATATAAAGAGGTAGTTCCGCCCTATGTTTTCCTCTTCTCATGTATAGCTATAGTACCTTCTTTTGCCTACTACATATCTGGTCTTTGATTATGGAACTAAGGGATGTCGCATGGTTGGCAGCATCTAAAGTCAGTGCAGGTGTATACTGTAGCTGGCCTGCACTCTTCCCCTTACAAAGCTTTCACACAAAGCAAGTAGAAAATAAAGGTACACTGGCACATCAGCACAGCATTACACCACTCTAAACCGAACACCAGTACCAAAAAAAATCTTCGAAACGCTTCCACGCTCTCAATTCGACTGCAATCTAAAAAAAACTGGGTATTCTTTCCAACATTTCCCCCCTCTTATTGAGATTTTCTTTTGGCGCGTGTATCTAATATGCACACATTGTATTTTGCCCGGCTTCATTTGTGTAACTTTTTTTTTGGTTGGAATGAATCAAGCCTCTACCTTGGTAGCCTCCAACTGCTCCGTGATTTCCTGCACGTCTTGGCCGCGGCGCTTATTGGCGACGCGGGTCTTGATCTCGGCCGGCAGGGCGGCCAGGTCGACCAGCACGCCTTCCTTCTCGGGGTGGCCGTCCTCGAGCCCCATCTCCTTGATGCGGACCTTGCCGGCGGCGAGCTCGTCCTCGCCGAGGATGACAGCGAAGGGGACGCCGACTTGTTCGGCGGCCTTGAATTGTTGGGGGAGCTTGGGCTTGACCTTGTAGGAGAATTCGGCCTGCATGGTTTTTAGGTTAGTGGGGGAATGAAGAGGAAAATCCTAAGGGTAAGGGGAGGGATATACCTTGACACCTGCGTTCCACAGCGACTGACACACAGTCATGCGCTCCTTCAGCATGCCGGTGAAACCCTTGCCGCCGAAGGCCATGACGTAGGCGTCGACTTCGCTGCTGCGGAGGGCCTCGGCGCTCTTCTCGCGCTCGATGCGCGCCTTGGTGATGGAGAAGATGCGGTCGACACCGAAGGAGACGCCCACACAGGGGATCTGGGCCTTGGGCAGGAACATGCCCACGAGGTTGTCGTAGCGGCCACCGGCGGCGACACTGCCCACGCCCAGCGTCGGGTCGTTGGACCGGTCGTCGTCCTCCAGGGTCTTGGACTTGTCCTTCTTGGCCTTCTTCTGCACGGCCTGGGCCTCCGCGGAGCCCTTCTGCACGGCGGGAGCGGAGCCCTCGGTGACGACCTCGTAAATCACTCCGGTATAGTAGTCCAGCCCCCGGGCGAGACTCAGGTCGAAGGAGATGCGGTCCAGCACGCCAAAGGCCTCGAGATAGTCCATCAGCAGCGCCATGTCGTCGAGACCGGCCTTGGCGTTGGCGTTGGCCGTCAGGGTCTCGTCCGCAAGGAGGCTCTCCAGCAGCTCGCGCCCGCCCTTCTTCTGGGCGTAGGACCAGATCTGGTCGGCGACGGCGCCGTCCAGCCCCTTCTCGTCGACCATCTCCTTGCGCACGTCCTCCCACGGCATCTTGTCCAGCTTGTCGACGGCGCTCGAGATGGGGCGGATCTTGTCGGCGGGGACGCCGCAGACCTCGAAGAGGCCGTCGAGGATCTTGCGGTGGTTGATCTTGATGTTGTAGCGGCCCTTCCAGCCCAGCTCCTCGAAGACCTCGGTGACGATGCGCAGAATCTCCGCGTCGGGCACCATGGGGTCGAAGGTGCCGGCGATGTCGAAGTCACACTGGTAGAACTCGCGCATGCGGCCCTTGCTGACGGCGGGCTGGTCGCGCCGGTACACCTTAGCGATGTGGTAGCGCTTCATGCTGCGCACGTCCGGGTTCATGGCCAGCCAGCGGGCGAAGGGCACGGTCAGGTCGTAGCGGAGCGAGCAGATCTCCCCCCCCTGGTCCTGCAGGTCGTAAATGAGTTTCGAGTCCTCGCCATACTTGCCGGCCAGGATCTCGCGGAGTTCGAAAACGGGGGTGTCGAGGGCGGTGCCGCCGTGGCGCTTGAAGACGTCGGCGATGGTGGAGAAGATGCGGTCGCGGAGGAGGGCGTCGGACCCGGACCAGTCCTTCGTACCCTTTGGGGTCTTCAGGTTGAAAGAGACCTTAGATTCCTTGTCCTTAGGCATTGTGCTGTCTGAGAAAGGGTATGTGGAGGAGGATGAGGGGGGGAAAGAAGAAGTGGAAGAGGGGAAGGCCGGAGGAGTCAGAGAAGAGAAAGAGGAAGAACAGGATGAAGAATGGTGGGGGATGGTGGGGGCTCGACTGATTGGGCGGACAACTGGTCGGCGGCCGCTGTCGCTGTTGCTGCTAATGCTGCTGCTGATGCTGCGAGTATTACAACCACACTGGTGAGTTAGTCTCCGTGTTAAGCCAATTGCTCGTCGAGAGCAGCGCAATGACACGGGTTGCAGTGGAGAGGGCATTCAAATGAGCGAAGAAAGTTGTTCTCAAAGTTGTTGATTGAATGCCATCCATGAATGACCGGGAAAGAAAGTCGCCTCCTTCCTCCCTTCCCGCGGCTCGACCCGGCCGTTTCTCGGCCCTCAATTTCTCCGTTCTTCACTCGATTGGGAAATTAGGGCAGATCTATAGGGCATACAGCTTGCAGGAGGCAGAATGATTCAACTCAACTTGTGTACTACTATGCCCTCAATCTCAAGAGCATATCAATATGCGCGTCTCGCCTTGCTACACAGGAGCTTGACTCGAGAAATCCTGACAGATGTTGTATCTCGAGGAACACCCACAGCGAACTGTGTTCGACGTACCCATGCATCCACCCTTGCAGACATGCCCACCATGCGATGGACATCCACCTTTCGACCTCTGGCTGTGAATTAATCGACGCATCCACCAAGATCGAAGAAGAGACCTTACCAAGCTATACCCCGGAGTCATACTACCCGGTGGAACAAGGGGAGATCATGAATGATAGGTATCAGGTGGTCTCTAAGATTGGATACGGTGGTTCCTCGACCGTCTGGCTGGCTCGCGATCTCGTGTAAGTTCAGATGTAAAACAGCGATTAGAGAGTTAGGTCATTTTACTGAAGTTGTGCCTGGAAACAAGCGAGTGACCCACCTTGTCCTCAAGGTCTATATATTGGGTCGAGGAACGGAACATGAATCGGTGCCTAATACATAGAGACCGACCACCCCGGCCAAACGGACATCCGCAAACTCCTCGATCATTTCTTCCTTCAGGGTCCCATCGGTCGTCACGCATGTCTAGTCCATGAGCTTCTCGGGATGAGCCTGCTCGAGCTAGATGAGATTGGACGCAACCTTGGTGTCATAGATCCCGTCCCAAGACTCGATCAAGCCAAGCCATTGATCCGGAGAGACTTATATGCTTTAGACTTCCTGCATCAGGGGAGCCACCTAATCCATACTGGTATTGCTTTGACTCCCTTCTTCTAACGGTCTCAGTGACTTCCAAACCCAGGGGGTAACCGGCACTGACTTTCATCATCTAGATCTTCAGATGGGAAACCTACTTCTGCCGGCGGCTTCTCCGGCCAGAATGTCTAAGTACGAGGAAACTGCGATAAAATACCGGTTGCCACGGAAAATCCTCAAAAATCGAACCATCTATACCCCAAAATTATTCCCTACAGGAAGGGGACTCCCCGTGCTTGTACGATTTCGGAGAAACATGATTCGGCGACAAGCACAATTGCGGGACGATCATGCCGGACTTTCACCGTGCCCCTGAGGTTATTCTGGGCTTTCCGAGCTGGGACTACAAAGTTGATAGCTGGGGGGTTGGGATGTTGGTAAGTCTTCCAAAACCACGCTTTCCCGGCTCCATTTCGCGGACTCTATGAGATTTGATGATCCCTGTTACTGATATGGGCCTCTCCGGGGAAATAGGCTTGGGACTCTATCAGTACCCGCCTGTTGATCACGAATCACAGGAAGGACGGTCATTGGGACGATGCGCCCACATCGCGGAGTTGGTTGCTCTTCTCGGGCACGCCCCTCGCGAGTTCACCCGTCAGGGAACCTATAGTCATCTTTTCTGGGATGCTAACGGGAACTGGACAGACCTGGTCGCTATCCGGACCGAAGTCTCGAACAAGCCGCGGCCGATATCGATGGCGAGGACCTGGAGGGCTTCCTGCGGTGGCTGCGTCGAGCACTGCAGTGGGATCCCAGAGTCTGTCCTACGATCTTGGATCTGTTCATGGACCCATGGCTGATGAGAGGGATGAAAGTGCGGAGAGACGACCCGGCTTTGAAGGACTATCTAGATATCGTCGGGGTGGTTGAGATCGTTGACTGATTCGGTGGTCGAAACCAATCCCTTAGACTTTGGGGAAAGTCGATTCATCGATCTTGCGCACTCGTGCGTTGTGTTTCAGTTCTTATTGCCGACTGTGCTTATGCTTCTGAGGGAAATCTGGAAATTTTCTACTTCGTCAATCATCTTATGCAGCATCAACTCAGAATGAATATCTAGTTCGAAATTTAGTCAAGAAATTGAATCTTATCGGAATAGAATTGGATTATAAGCAACGAGCCTACAGTTCCTAGTAAGTTGCCGTGTCGTGTGGTTCTCCATTACTTAGCGCGTATTATTTTGGCCGTGGCTTACTCAATCCATGATTACCATTGGTGAGGACATGAGAACCACCGCTCACCAATGCTTTTTTTTCGACATTGGACACTGACGCAGGCTGACAGTATCACTCTCTTACTCAACCATTGGAATGAGAGTCTCGTGCTTCCCCCCATCCTTTGCGGGAAATGGAAAGAATGGGGTCCATCCACATAGTAAGCTTCATTGGCGGGATGGGAAGAGGGGCGCAGGTGCATGGGGTGATGTGACCGAGTCACTGACAGACAGACGGTCTGTACGGAGTCAGAAACCGAAGTCAGGTACATTCATGTATGTACCAGTACGGTAAGAGTAAGAGCAGTCAGACTTTTGCGGGGCCTGCGTGGGAATTCACACCGATTGGCTTAGTGCTGCTCCAGCACAGGTGGGGGTTAACAACTGGGACGATTCTGCTTGGACTGATTAATCCACTCTAACTTATCCATAAGTGGTCTGCTTATCAGGACCATCATGATGGACTATCTCTCTTCTTGTAGAGTATCGGTCCAGCATTTCCCTACCGGTTTGCGTGACACCGGTGACACCGCTGTCAAAACAAGATGAAACCGCAGAGTGCCCCAAGGATGAAACGCAGACCAGACTCGTGGGGTCGTGGCTATGCTATCCCGAGTCGGATATAGAAGCCTGATTTGAGTTTGACATCAGCATGCAACCAGCCATGCATGCCCATGCATTTATCCATCCTGGCAGGGCACACTTTTCGAAAGCGGTAACAGACACGAGTGGCTGGTCTCTTGGTAGATGAGTACATGAATACGTACCGGTATATCTGGATCCCAGGAGGAGAGACGGCTAATGTTATACGAGTCTTCCCCTCAGCATGCGTATGACGCTAGTATCTCAAATGCTGGGGTGATGGGGAATGGTGGGGAGCTGCAATGATCTCGATTGGTCTGCTGGCCCTTTGATGATCCTGGTGTTTCCACGTGGTTCTGGTGTACCATCTTACATTACCTTACCGTTCCACAGAACCGTAAGGTATGACGTTGGTAACGGCTTCCGCGGTCGGGGAGGAGGAGGAGGAGGAGGAGGAGGAGAAGAAGAAGAAAAAGAGAGGATCTCGAGATTCTCACTCCGTATCTGAGTGGAAGTCTTCCAGACCAACCGTCCATCCATAGGGGTAGAAAGGTGTGCGATTACCCTGCATGTGTCGAGAGTGTTCACTGCTCTCAGGTGTACTGTACCTTCTTGAACGCTTTCAACCGGAATACTCGACCTCCGTCCAACAGGTTACCTTCGTGCCTCCCTCCCCCTTATCATTCCTATGTTTAGCTGTCTATCCCTGGGATGTCAAACTCACCCTCGTTACTCCTTAATTACGACCGCTAAGAGTGGCCACCAGCACTGAAGCCGCCCGCCAAGGACGCCCGCTAGGACAGGCCCCAGGGAGGTAACCAAAATCACGCACTGCATTTCGTCCCGCTGCCTAGGGCAAAATCCCATGGCTTGTCATTCGTGGTCAATATTCCGATCCCTCTCCTTTTGTTCATCTGCATCAAACCGGAGAAGGGCGTGGCGAGGTAGTCCAACGATCTTGTTTGGGTGCTCATACTTGCAGCTGCAGGTCAGTCGCTCGGCCGGACTGTATCTTGATAGCATTCGGGCGGTTGCGATGGATCATTGGTGTCTAGGCCATGCCAATGGGCTGGCAACCTATCATAATCTGGGGATGGCGAGGTCGATGCAACCCCGGCCGCAACCTTTGGCTACACCTGATGATGCGTGCTATATTATCCGAAGGATCGCTTCGCCCAGCTCTAGAAGGTCACCCTTACTTTCTGGTTGCTCTCTGCTGTGCTTTGTTCTGCGACCTGCCCCAATGGGCCTGATGGTGGTGCATACCACGACGTCCTGGTTTAAGAGACTGTCACACAACGTCGAGCCGTTGGTAAACATGTGTAGCCTGTGTAGCCCTTCGTAGGCTGCAGGGCTGCTGACTGGAATTCCCCGGTGATTAATTACATATGTGTAGTTGGTCTGACCGAACAAGTAGACACTTATTGGGCGGAGGGTGCTGGGCTGCCAGCAGTCCGACCGGCCACCGGGTGGATGTGCTCCAGAGATGTTTGCCTGTGGCCATTGAACATCGAGATCGGGCCTCGCGCACGTCCATGTTTCATTGTCTGGTGGAGGAGCTTAAAACCAAGTCCTTAGTTGACTGACGTAGAGATTCGAATGTCCCGGACCACATCAACGTGACAATCCGGCTTTCCCCCTCTCTCCCCTCCTCCCTCTTGAGTGAGAAACCAGGAATCAAGAAAACATTGGAATGAAGGAAACGATCGGGATTGTTCTCCTCCCTCTGATCTAGTTGATGGAAGGGGTCACTTAGTCTGATTTCTAGTTCCTTCCTCTGGCGCGTTAATCAGCAGCAATCGGTGAAAGAGCGGAGTTAAGGTGGGAATGGAAGAGGAAGGGAAGATAACTTACCGACTGAACCGACAGATGCCGCCAAAACCGATTCTCCCACGTTCACCGACAGCGGCCCAGCTTTTCCTGCCCCATCCATTGAGGTCTGGTCATGGAATCAGTCACATAGGCATAAGAGATAATTATCAATGAGACGATTGAGAGTCTCAGCATAATTCATGTACTGTACGTAGTAGCAAATCTAATCGAATCTCTCCTCTTTTCCCCTCATTTCCTCATCGAGTCCCAAAGTATGACCGCTCAGGCCCGCCAGGGTGAGATACAGTACACAGTACAGTACTTGATTGAGTAGGACAATTAAGATGGAACGATACCCATACCGGGTCCATACCGTACGTACGATACGAACAGGCAAAAGAGTTTCTCTCTAAGTTGGCCACTCTGTACGGGAACCGAACTATAACATACTTCGTTGGTGCTTCGAGGCTGTGACTAAGGAAAGGGTTCCTGACAGACAAGCCTGGGGATTCCCGCCATCTTCACTTACTGACTGACTGCCCGCCTGCCTGCTTGCCTGTCTGTCTTGCCCACCTTCTCATCTCTCCCCAATTCTCATTTCTCTATCCCACTCTCTCACTCTCTCCCCTCGCTCACTCTCTTCCGCTCCCAATCTCTCTCGCCCTTCTTTACGCCGCCACTATTCTCGGTTCCCTCGTCTCCGACTCGGATCGCGGTCTTTCTCCACCTTTTCTCGAATCCGCCGCCCGTTCACGTTTCCGCCCCATTCCACGCTCTCGCAATCCACATATCCAGGCCCCAGTCCTGCAACAACTCTGGTCGGTTCCGCGCACTGCTAAATCTTCTACCTGGTTCCTGTCGACAACCATCACCGGAATCCTATAACGCGACTTCTCGAGGATCACTTCTGCTTGCCTTCTCGATCCTGTCTGCTGACACTCCCCGATCCGCGCGTGGTCCGACGAACTTGCTCATTGCCGCTCTCTTTTCTGGTCCGGGTGTCAGCTTCGGTTTCCCACCGTCAGTTGCCCGATGAGGCTGAATTAGGATTCACGAGATTGTGCGATAATCATGGGGTCTTTTCTGAGGAGTTTCCGGAGAGATGTGGTGAGTCTTTATCCTGGTCGGCCTGGCTTTCTGGATTCTTCCCGGCCCATCGTCTCCCACTCGTCTGTGCCTGGCTGGTTCAGTATATGCTTTCCCAGTGGTGCAATCGCTCTAGTTCCATGCCCGAGAGTCATGTTGTCTCGTTCCGTTCACTGAAGGCGCTTAACGGTCGCGGCCGGACGAGGATTCATTCATTCAATGCCTTTGTCCTCACCACTATCAAATGACGAATGTTAACCGTCTTGTCCCCAGGGACCCACGCCTTCGGTTGGGGCGCCTCCCACCAAGAAAGAACCCCAGGCGCCGACGATGACCCCGCTAGAGAAAATGCTCCAGGATTTGGGATCGATCCGAGAGGATGGCAGTGATAAGTTCTTTGCGATGGAGAATGTAAGTCTGCGTCTAAAACATCTTGCTCTTGGAATCCTTGCTGATAGACTTCTCTCGTCTAGTTCGGAAATACATGGTGAGTTGTTGGCGCCCGGCTGCCGGTCTACTTACCTCAAGTGATCGCATAGACCCCAAGTGACTGGATCACTAATGCTTGCGAATAGTTACTGTAACTCGATATTACAATGTCTCTATTATTCAGTACCATTCCGAGAAGCCGTTATAAACTATCCCACCAGAACACCGATAGAGAACCTGGAAGCCGCATTGGCCAAAAACCTTCATTACCAAAACCCGGCTGCTAATATGGAAGCGGAGGCACAAGCAGAGAAGCAGAGGGCTGCTACGCCACAACGTCCGGGGGCGCCCCCGAATCAGCCACAAAAACCCGAAGATAAAGACTCACCGGAATACAAGAAGAAGATGGCCTTACAGACTCTCCCCCTTCTAGAAACCACGAACAATTCAGCCAGCTACGGAATGTCAGAGTCGCTATTCACATCGCTGAAGGATATATTTGAGTCGATCGTGGCGAGTCAGGCTCGTCTTGGTATAACAAGACCACAGCGCTTGTTGGAACTCCTCCGTCGGGACCATGAGATGTTTCGGACTGCCATGCATCAGGATGCCCATGAGTTCTTGATCCTTTTACTGAACGAGGTGGTAGCGAATGTCGAAGCGGAGGCCATGAAGCAGCCCGAGAAGAGCTTGCCACCCCCCGAAAGCATGGAATCCTCACAACAATCATTAAGTTCTGGTTCCAAGACCCCCAACACTACGCGATGGGTGCACGAGTTGTTCGAAGGAACTTTAACGTCCGAAACACAATGTCTGACCTGCGAGAACGTCTCTCAGCGAGATGAGATCTTCCTAGATCTATCGGTAGATCTTGAACAGCATTCGTCGGTTACCTCGTGTTTGAGGAAATTCTCCGCAGAAGAGATGCTCTGCGAGCGGAATAAATTCCACTGTGACAATTGTGGCGGTCTGCAGGAGGCAGAAAAACGGATGAAAATCAAACGTCTTCCCCGCATCTTGGCTCTCCATCTCAAGCGCTTTAAATACACGGAGGACTTGCAAAAACTGCAGAAGTTGTTTCACCGAGTCGTCTACCCGTATCACCTGCGTCTTTTCAACACAACGGACGATGCGGAGGATCCCGACCGATTGTACGAGCTGTATGCAGTCGTGGTACATATTGGAGGCGGTCCCTACCACGGTCACTATGTGGCTATTATCAAGACGCAGGATCGCGGATGGTTGCTCTTTGATGATGAGATGGTGGAGCCTGTGGACAAGAACTACGTGCGTAACTTCTTCGGAGATAAACCCGGACTCGCCTGCGCCTACGTTTTGTTCTACCAGGAAACCACTATGGAGGCTGTTATGAAGGAACAAGAACAGGAGGATCTCAATGCCACCATGGCAGATCTCAATTTGAACGAGGTCGCCGTGAAGCAGAATGGATTCATCTCACCGCCCGCGCTATCTCATGTTCATAGTGCATCGCAAATCCCCTCGCAAGAGGACCCTCACCGATTCACAGGCCTGAAACGCGCCCCGACGGCGCCTCAGCTTCCGACTCACACCGAGCACATCGGCGCCGAAGCCGTTCCTCCGCATAGTCCGGCAGCCGTGCCCCCTCCGGTGCCCCCGATTCCTGAGGTCCACACGCGACCACTGAGCCCCAAGAAGAGTGACGTCCAATCTAAGAAGGAAAGGGCCAAGGAGGAAAAGGAACGGAAAGCAGCCGAAAAAGAGCTAGAAAAGCAGCGCCGGAAGGAGCAAGAAGCTCGGTTCAAGGAGAACAAAGAGAACCAGCGGCGCGAGGAAGCTGAGATTAAGGCTGCGATCGAGGCCAGCCGAGCGTCTAAGGCCGATGAAGACCGACGCAATGACAGTGGCAAGAGTGGTGGATTGAGCCGACTCAAACGAGGCAGCAAGAGCTTCAGCCAGAGACTGGGCAAGGACAAGGAAAGTCGGGCGTCATCGTCCGGCTCCCCCGCAGTGCCCAATTCCGAGACGTCCAGTTCAAGCAATATGCCACCTGAGCCACTCCAACCCTTGTCTCCTCAGAAGATAACGCCTCCCGATACACTTCTGGTTCCTCACGACGATGATCCGGATTCTCTTAAGAGCCCTAAGAGCGATCGACAGACTCATGGGAAATGGCGGAGTTTCAGCATTAGAAAGAAGTCCTTCAGCATTCTTTCGTGAACATGATGGTGAACATGAGGGCCTGTTACTCGTCACCACGTGTATCAGATCTACACTTTTCTTTGCACATAAAAGACGCATTTCTGTCGTACATATTCCTTTTCTCCATGTATCATCACCATTGCCTTCCAGACCGGATTCATTTTGACTTTGACGACGTGGCCCATCCCTATCATGCATACGGAAAGGACTGCGCGTCAACGACAGGGATCCGGTTTCTGTTTTATTTGCACGATTGTCATTCTGCCAGCTCCTACCTGCCTGCATCTTTTTGCATTGACCAAATCACTTCGGTCTGCATGTTGATTTAGCCTTCTCTTCATCTCTTCCTTTTTCTTGTTCTCTGATTTCATCTCCCTGTGATACCCATGCCTGGGTCACACCACTGGGCAATTGGGGCGTTCGGCGAAAGTGTTTCTGTCCTAATTGTTTTTACTCAGGGAAGATGACATGAGGGAGTGGATGCTCAATTCGTGTTATCAACTGGTTCGCGGGAGGATATATTCGCAGGTCCTCGACCAAAAGTCAGGCGGGCGCATCATTCCCCCTTTGAACACAGGCGTGGCACTTCACGCCTACGCTTCACCTCGACTGGACATATCATGCATGGAACTCGCCTGGGCCAAGACTTGCGGGTACGCGCAGTATATAGACCTTGAAATCAATGTGATATGTATGCGAAAGGTGCTTTCTTTCTGTAGGGTATTTGAATAATGCTGTCTCTTTCTCGCCCATCCTCGCGCCTTACAAGGGACCGACACAACCACCATCAGGCAAGGCCCTGCTGCTGATCTATAACCGCTTGCGCCCAGCATCCTTGCAGATAGACTCCGACCGCAGTGATATCAGTTCCTACAGCTCCCATCACCCGCGGGATCCATCCATTCAAATCTCGAAATCACATATAGGTGTATACCCCATACCAAGCGAGATAAAGAACAACTGTCATTTCTATTCTCGTCATGTATCATTCCTTGTTGTTACTCAATTCCTTAACCCCACACACCACCGAACCGGCGAAAAAAAGCAAAGGGAAACACCTCGTAGAATATTCGCTGCTGAATGTAGTATAAAAATATGTAGGAGGCAAGGTATACATAACAAATCGGGATTCGTGAATTGCGGGTTAAGAAAAAATTCGAGAGAGCTGTGACAAAGACGAATGCTTTTTTTTTGGTGTGGATCGGTTAACCCAGGATAAGCTCGTAGATGATGACGATGGTATTGATCACGATTAAGGGTACTGTATACAGATTCCCCTTTTCTCCGTTGGAGAGAGGGGGAAGGTAGAGGTTAGTTTGGTTATTGTACTCGCGGTGTAGTGCGGGAGATGAGGGGTTTGCGCGAGGGGGGTATGCTCGTGTGTAGCTTGGGCTCTTTTATTTTTATTTTTTGTTTGGTATGGTGGGGGAGAAGGACGTACTTCGCATGACGGTCCGGACACTGGCGATCAGATTGATGGTTTTGGCCTTGACGCTGGTGTTGTCGTAGGTTGCGCCGAAGGCTGGATCGGCTTGCATGCGGCCCCAGCCGACTTTGGGGGGGGAGGGAGCTTGGTTAGCTTGCTGAGGAGGTCCCAGAGAGAGAGAGGGGGGTGTGGAGCGTTGAGAAGTTCCCGGGGGAGGGACTCGGACTTATGTGGACGTACTTCTGGCGAGGAAACGGTCCTCGGAGAGGATGGCCAGGGAGTTGATGAAGAGGATGACGACTGCGGAGACAGGAAGACGCGATGGTTAGTTCCGGGCTGCGGATTTTCGGCTTGCTCAATGGATTGTGGATTGGTGACTGGAAAGAGTAGGGGACGGACCGTAGAAGAGTTTCCCTAGGCCGAAGAAAAACATCTTGGCGGGAGGTTTGCAGGTGTGTCGAGGGAGATGTGGTGGTGCGAGGTTGAGGTTGATGATCGGTGGAAGCGGAGAGGGAGAGAGTGTGTACTTGAGATAGTGAGTGGTGTTGGAATGACGGCGGAAATGGGAAGGGAAGTTGCGGGAAGGCAGGCAGGCACTCCACCCACTCATGTGATTTTGGCCATCTGTCTTCATACTTCGACCTACTTGGCTCCTTTTATGCATTGAACACGACTGTATCCCCGCAAGCTGGGAATATTAGGGTCGTCATGAGTGGTAGAGATGCTGGTAAGTGCTATATTCATTCTTGTCAAGATAATAAACCAATTGACCTGTCTCCAGTCTACGTGCTGCTCCTCGCCGCAGTGCCCGCCCTCATTCTCCTCCATTTGGTCGTTGCGCCATACACTAAGGTAGAGGAGTCTTTCCATATACAAGCCATTCATGATATTCTGGCATACGGGATTCCCACGAGCAATGTCAGCGAGACACTTCGTGCGGATTATGACCATTTCACCTTTCCTGGTGCTGTTCCTCGGACATTCGTCGGCGCCGCGCTGCTGACCGGTCTGGCGCGGCCGTTCATTGGGCTGCAGCACTCTGTCGACAGGCAATTACTTGGTGAGTAGTGCGCAAGCTGTCTTCTACGCTGTGTGGTCGATGGCTAAGGGATCATGTCTTCAGTTCGAGCTATCTTAGGTCTATTTAATGCCGCTTCGTTGCTGTCATTTGCGGGAGGTCTACGGCGTACTGCCGGCAAGACCACTGCCATCTGGTACCTTTTGTTCCAGAGCAGCCAATTTCACGTTCTATACTATGCGTCGCGGACGCTCTCAAACATGTTCGCATTTGGGATGACCACCCTAGCTTTGCGTTACCTTCTTCCAGAGCCATCACTGTCTACCGCAGCGTATCGAAGGCGCTCGCGACTCGCTCTGTGTCTGCTGACAGTAGCTGGCATTATCTTTCGCTCTGAGCTTGCCATCTTCCTCGCAACCAACACGATCTTCCTCTTCGCGACCCGCCGTATCAGCATCCTGCACGAGATCATTCCCGCCGGGATCGTGGGCCTTGTCATCGGCCTAACCACGACTGTGGTCGTGGATTCTTTCTTCTGGCAGCAATTTCCCCTGTGGCCCGAATTCGAGGCGTTCAAGTTCAATGTCATCCACGGTCAAGCGTCAGCCTGGGGCATTGACCCGTGGTACTTTTACTTCATCAACGCCGTTCCTCGTCTCCTCCTCAACCCTCTGACTTATCTTGTTGGCATTCCCATCTCGCTTCTGCAACCCGCCACCCGCTCCGTCGCAGCATCTCTCCTCATTCCATCTCTTGTTTTCCTCGCCATCTACAGCGCCCAGCCCCACAAGGAATGGCGTTTCGTCATCTATACCATCCCTGCCCTCACCGCGGTCTCCGCTCAAGGCGCCTCCTACATCTGGACACATCGCGCCAAATCAATAATCTACTGTCTCCTCTCCCTGGCCCTGCTAGCCTCAACCCTAGCTTCCTTCATCGTCTCCACTTTCGTCCTTCTGCCCGCCTCCTCCGCCAACTACCCCGGCGCACACGCCCTCCACGCCCTCCACAACCATGCTATCCCTCCCTCAGACAACGCCGCCAATGTATCAGTTTACCTTGGCAATCTGGCCTGCCAAACTGGCGTGACCCGCTTCCTCCAGTTCCCCACCAGTCAGTCCGACTCGCCAATCTGGAACTACGATAAAACCGAATCCCCTCTCCTCAAGTCGGACCCTACCTTCTGGTCCCACTTTGACTATGCCCTAGTCGAACCCGGCGAGGAAGCCGAGCTCGTCCTGTCTTCCTCTGGGGCTGAGAAATGGCGTCCCATTGATAGTGTTCCCGGCTTCGCAGGACTCCGTGTCCTCCGGCCTGGCGATGAAGCTATCGGTACTGTTGAAAGGAATTTCCTGGGGTATGTTGTGGGAGACAGAGGTGTCGAGATTTGGAGCAGAGTTCGCGAGCTCGCTCGACGAATGGTCACGCGGGGATGGTGGGTGGAGGTCAGAATGGAGAGCAAGATCCTGATCCTTGGGAGAGATGGTGTTGAGAATGTTTGAACTTTCTAGACTACTACTTTTTGTTTTCCCCAATGGGTATGTAGCTGATATATAGAGCCAGTGTGGTTACAGCGAGTCCTAGCTGAAGAAAAAAGCATTAGACATAGTTTCGGAACTTTGCAGATGAGTAGACCCAAGTTATCGTTATGGCTCTGACTGAACTCGCTATGGGAGCCTAGCTGCTCATCGTACTTCTCATACCTCGCACCCTATCTCATAACAACCTTTCGTAGTACTAGTCAGATCACCTCTGGTTGATAGCAGCAACGCACCCCCGCTCTTGTACCATGCACAGTCCCAAGTCGATCGACCTCATCTGTAGCCTCTTTGTCTGAGCTATCAGCCTGTGAGTCACCGATATTCACCACATTCACCAAGCAAGTAAGCTTTTTCGGTAGCGAGCTGGCTGTAACTTTAATATTTTGTTCTGAGTTCCTGATATGGCCGGAAGCGAATTGATATTAGTCGTATAATCACCCCAGATATCAGCTATCTCTGATAACGAGCCATATTCCATCTCAGCATTCACTGCGAACATCAGAGAACTCCGGTAGCGAGCTGATCTGACACCAGAAATCACTCCTGATATCAAACTATCTCTGGTAGTGAGCTGGATGTAATCTTAATGTTCGCCACCGTGCGACTTTCGTGGGATATAAAATCCTCCCTCGATCTCTCTTCTTCTTCTTATCCTCTCCTCTCTTCTTTCTCACCACCCGGTACCTTTCTCATCCTTACCTCTTGTCTTGATCACCTTCAAAAGTCCTTTCATTTTTGGAATCGTTTTCAACATCCACTCGTCACGTCGTTCACGATGTTCCGTCTCAAAAACCCCCTTGTTTTCCTCCTGGTGTTGGGGTTGTTCATGCAGACTGCCCTGACAAAGCCCCAGGGTCCCACTTCCACTGATGTTGCGAACATCGATGACAACTTGGACTCGCTCAAGGATAGCCCTGTTGAAGAATCCCACGCCCAGCCTACTGCCGACCACGATGCCCCCTCCGTGTCCAACGGAGCTGTCCCCGGTGACGACGTCCCTGAGGGCAACGACCAGAGCGAGGTCCTAAGCCTGGGCGGAGGAAAGAGCCCGGCCTCAGGTCCCAACACTGTAAGTGGAGAAGGTGGTTGCGAATAGGTTGGCTTGATCGATTGTCCTTGACCGTTGCTGACTTTTGTTCGTGTTGTTTCTAGTGGAGAACTTGTCTGGGCGTTTGTGACTGGAACAAATGGTGCCACTGCGCAAAGACTCGTTGCCGTTGCTGGCATCGTCATGCCCCGTGCAAATGCATCAACCACTTCAAGTCTCGCGATGAGTCCGCGGAAGATGATGGTCAGAGCGACGTTGCCGGTCTTGATGCTGTTGAAGGTTTGAACGCCACTGACGGTTTGAACACCACTGACGATTCGGATCTGACTGATGGTTTGGATACCCCTGTTGATCTGAACACCACTGATGATTCGGGTCCCATTGGTGATCTGGATCCCACTGATGATCTGAACACCACCTATGATACGAACACCACCGATGACTTGGAAACCCCTGTTGATCTGAACGCCACTGATGATTCGATGACCACTTCCGGTCTGAACCTCACCGAAGGTCCAAACAACAACCAGACCCTGATCATCATACCTCCCTTTGTAAGTCATTGATCGGGTGCCTCTGATACCGTGTCACTTGCCCTCGCTGACAATCATCCTCTTTAGCCTCCCGTGCAGTGCAAGGGAATCTGCAACATGAAGCACAAGTGCTACTGCTCCAATACTGCTTTGACCCATTGCCGTTGCCCCAGGATTGGCTTCCCATGCTCGTGCACACGCTACCTCGATAGCCCAGCTGCCCGACTGGAAAGCGCGGACTCGAACACCACCTCGACCCTGAACACCACCCCGGCTCTGGACACTCGCTCGGCCTCGGAGACTGCTGAAGAAGGGTTGGACACCACCGAGGACTCGGACACCAACGAGCAGTTGAATGCCAACGAGGAAGTGGAGAGTACCCCCGTATCACATCTCGCTCAAGCGGTAAGCCCCTGACACTTCTCCCGGTGTTCTTTCGACTCCTCTGCTGACGATTCTCTCACACAAGCCTGCCGGGCCTTGCAAGGGTCGCTGCACTATTCATGGGAAGTGTATGTGTGGAGGATTGACCAAATGTACTTGTCGCCACGCTGGCAAGACCTGCTCGTGCGTCAACTAAAAAAGCTGTCTTTGGAATCGCTTCTTGGCATGTTTGGAGGATGCTTAGAGTGATTAGACTTGCTTTGGAACTTTAGTGTTGTTGTTATCGTTGTTGTTGAAGCCTTGGAACTGTGCTGTGCTGTTTCCTCTGGCAAAAGTTGTTGTTGTTATGCGTTGCGATCGGATGATGTGTCTACCATGTTAACCTTTGTGGCACTGCCACTTGAACAATGAAAAAAGCCTTCATTGACTTTGAGTATTCCTTCAAAAGTGTACCTGCCAAAGCAGTAGCAACTCCCTCCGACTTGTGATATGATATATCGCGTCGACGCGCCGCTCTTGCCTGGTGCGAACTACTCGGCCACTCGTTCCCTCGATTCTGTCCGTAGTTGAAAGATGCCAACATTCGAACTCCCGGACCCAATCAAAACCTACACATACTCAAGTGCTTGTAGAACTTTCTGTCTGTCTGTCTGCCAAGATGCCACCTCGAGCCAATGATGCGCACAATGCATTTTTATACACCACCTCCCTCTCCCTAGCACAGGAGCCTAGGTACTGTAGGTACCTCGAATACCAACCTTAACCATGAATCAAAGTAGGGGACTTCGATGCAAACCACACAGCTACCCTAAATTCGACGATCTCGGATGACCTCGAAAGTGGATCACGCTCAAAGGGCCAGTGACGCCATAGGATCATCGGTCGCCCTTGATCGGAGCCATCAGATTTCCTATCTCTACCCGTCACATTGTGCTTGCTTCATTTTGCAGACGACAGCTGCGGCTGTCGTGCACGACAATGCAATTATCTGTCGACGTGGTGGTCCGCTGCAGACGCCACTCTTCCATAAGAGAGACCCCGACTCAGGCTCCAGCTGTTGAAGTCGCGCAAGAGGACAAGAGATACTCGATAGGTCACTTTGCTGAATCCGTGTGCGGCATTTTGACAGGATGGGTACGACGACGTTATGCTCCCATCTGGAAATGACTGTATGCCTTCTCCGTATTGCGCCAGGGAAGAGAGATTTCAGAAGGCGAAGAAGAAGACGGAACACGGTTGTATTGACTATAGTTACGTCCTAGAGTAAGTGTGTATATAGAACTGTACATATGAGTATACGGCAGCGATTGCCACGGAAATCTCTTTGTGGTTTTGAGAGGGGTAGGGAGATTATGCATCACGCCCGCCAAACCCTGCTAGTTGTTGCTAGTACTAGCAGGGGTTAAAGGGGGTTGCAGCCGGATAATCAAGGTGTACTCCGGAGTAGGGCTTCTATAGGTTTGGAGGATTTGTTATCAAGCTCCGGGTCGCCGTGTCTTTTCTGGTACCCCGCGGGAGAGGATATTCTTAGAAAATGCACGTCCCCTATCACAGCTGTCGGAGGATCGAAGACAGTGCCGTGCTCAATTACCTCGACTTTGAGGACTCAGCCGGGTTTGATATAGTCAATCTTTGGTCTGTATTTAGCCGTAAAGAGTCACTAGAGTGTAGATAATCAGTCAGACTGCGATTGCACCAAGTAGACTGTTATGCAGTGAGTATGATTTAGTATGTTGATGATGAATCCAAGTCCAATGATGAAACGCTCATCCATGATCAATGTCACCTGACCCACTCTCAGTGGAGCATCGATCCAATCATCGCTCGGGCAGGAATTGACAGCTCGCATTCAAACACTCCAAACATGATCGAGTCCCGCCCTCGGAGGAAGGCGAGGCGAGGTTGAACTGGATTTGAACTCTTCTTTCAATCCATCTTCCTCAAAAGACACAGAACACCAGCAACACCAATATCCAAGAAGAGAGCGTGTCTGGAACGCGCTCTCTATTTCTTCGCCCTCGTTCCTCCGACATTGCCATTCTCACGGATCAGATTGGAGGCCAGTCTTCAATTGCTCTCTCTGCCCCCCCACCAAGATCACCTTCCATCGCTCCATATCTCCGCCTTCCCCCCATCCCTTCTCATCTGTTCCCCCGAACCTCTCAAACATGGAACTTGGTTTTCCACGAGGGCTCGGGCAGAACCAGAACCAGAACCAGAATCAGTCGTACGGACACCGTCACCCGCCAGTCCAGCAAAACTCAAAACCATCCGAAGGTCAGCTGCCAAACTTCCCGTATAGCGTCATGGATGCGCGGAGCATCCCACGCACCCTCGGCCCAGCCGCCCCCACCCCTGGCCCCAGTATACTCGAACAACAGCACCAGCAACATTCATCCTCGACCTCATCGTCAACCACATCCTCATCTATACCTCCCACCGGTCGTCCCACATCGCCTCCCGTGGCTGCCACCGGCACAGCAGCGATTCACTCCGCCGCCGCGGCCGCGGCCGCGGCCGGCAGCGCCGAAGTTGGCCAGCAGTCCGCCGACTCCCTTGCGCATGGCAACGGCAACGGCAACGGCAACGGTGAGAATTGGGCCTCGCGGGTCCTGCAGGAGATGAAGGACTTGATGCTTCTGCTCAGCCGCGAAGGTCGAGTTCTGTATGCGTCACCCTCGTGCGTCGAGATCACGGGCTTCGAAGCCCAGTCGCTCGAAAAGAGCGACCTGTTCCGCTATGTTCACGAGGACGACAAGTCCGTTCTCACTCAGGAATTGAAAGAATGTATTCAGACTGGCCGGCTGTTGCGCTGCCATTTCCGCTTCTGTAAGCCGGATAGCAGCTTCTGTCTGCTCGAAGCGCACGGACATCCACATATCGCTCCCTCGGATCCCTCGTCGATGCCCACTGGTCCGGGTGGTGGTAATGGGGGTCGCAGCACCAGCGCCAGCAGCACCAGTGCAAGCAGCAACGGCAACAACGGCAGTCGTGATAGTAGCAGTAATAATATCAGCAGTGGAGCTGGCTCAAATGGTCACCGAAGACTTCCACGACCGCTATCCCCATCGCCACCGCAACAGCTGCAGCAACAGGAACAATCCGAGTGTCGAGGGATTTTCCTCGTCTGTCGCCCTTATCCGACTAGGGGAGCCCAGCTCCTCAACTCATTTCTCGAACATAAGATCGAGAACATCCGCCTCAATCAGCGCATCGCGCAACTCAAGGAAGAGGAAGAGGAAGAGCTCAACGCGACGCAGCAGTCTTTCAACAGCAGTAATAGCGGCGCCGGCAGCAACAATCACCGCAACAACAACAGAGATGGCCATTTTGTCCACACCTCGACCACCACTACCCGTCAAACATACATCACGACCACGCAGACCGTCACCCAATCCACCACCAACCGGGCACCCGCCCGCGACACTCCCTCCACTTCCGGCGAGGACAACGAATCCTCCGATACGGTCACGAGCAACGCCGACGATGCGGATTCGCGCTCGTTTCCCGGCATGGAGGGCGTCATGGACCGCCTACCTGCGGTCGACGACATGTCGCATATCGAGGGCATTGAAGTCATGACCGGTCTGTACTATGGAGAGGGCGAGCGGTCCCAGGGTCTGAGTACCGGCCAAAAGCATGGTCGCTTGGTCCATTACTCGGACCTTGATGGCGAGTCGTCTATCAACGATCCCCAGGCAAGTCGAGGAGTCGGGGATGGGGATCGGAGGAAACGACTCAAGGGCGAGTATATGTGTACGGACTGCGGGACGAGTGATTCGCCGGAGTGGCGGAAGGGGCCCGAGGGTCCGAAGACGTTGTGTAATGCTTGTGGATGTGAGTTGATGCTCCTGCCCGTCCCCCCTCCCCCCCGTTTTCCACTCATTGCTTCACACTCGGCTTCCCCCCTCCCCCCTCTTTGTTTTCTTTCCCGGTCGAGGACCATGACTAACTAAATTATACAGTACGCTGGGCTAAAAAGGAGAAGAAACGCCAAGATCCCTGATCACTAAAACCGCTACTCCGTACTCCGTACTCTCCCCGGTCTCGTCTTTGCAAGGTGGGTGTAACGGGGGAAATTTCCAAGGCCATTGACGCGACGTCTGTCATGATTGTTACTGTACTACCTGCATTAATTGCCACTTAGGGTTGGACATTGAGACCCCCCCTTGCGAGGATACCCCCTGCTTCTGTCACTTCTCTTTTCTTTTCTTGGGATATTTCTTTTTTTCTTTTACGGGCTGGTTCATGGACTGGTTTGGTCGTGCGTGTGATTGCAGCAGAGCATGTGAAAACCCACTTTCAGTGCTTTTGATTATGACTTTGTGTCTATCTATGATGGCATGATTACTATACGGGATATGTATATTCAGACTAAAATCGAACGGACTTGGTGTCTTTTCCGGTTACAATTATGATCAGCGCATGATCTTCATTTTGGGTCGGTGAGAAGTGGGCTATGTTCAGATTGTGCATGGGACGACGAGATTAAACTAGTGACTCTTAACCGGCAAACTTCCGGAAGGGGAAATGGGGGTATGAACAATGCATAAGACATGACAGTTGATAATCGTGGCAACAGAGAAAAGAAGACATATGTTTGGACCGCTGACGGGGGAATATGCACACGGCCAGACAAAGTCAACGCCTTCATGAACGATCTCGTTCTCTTGAAGACAATTTCATCATCGACGACCCCACCGGACTCAATTCTTGGCGGCTTTCTTCGGTGGCGGTGGGAAGTAGGGTTGCGGCTGGGGCTGATGGCCCGACAGCGTCTCCGTTGAGTCTTGTTGCATCGAGCGACGTGGGTTCGGGGTGCTGAAATGTTGACGCAGGGGCAGGTCCGAGCTCGAACCGCCGTCGCTCGGCGCCGTGGTGACGTGGTGCATCGGGGACTTGGGAGGCATGCCCAGGGGCTGCATCGTGGTCATGGGGATGCCCGGCGACTTGAGCACGAAGTCCTCGAACTCCTTCATGGCCCGCTCGTCTTCCCGGCGCTCCTCGATTTCCAGGCGCTCTTCCTCGGTGATGATGCAGTTGCGTAGGCTGAGGCAGGTGATGCCGAAGTAGAAGAGACTATAGTGCGTTTGTTAGCTTGGGGAGGCCTTTAAACCGGTTTCAGAGTAAGAAAGGGGTCGACATACATGATGATGATGGAAAATGCGAAGAGTGCTTTTGCTTGCTGGCAGTAATGCACATTTGACTTCACGTAGGCCACGGAGCATTTCTTGGTGATATACCACGGTGCGCCAGGTTGAGGATGGTCTGGGTCCGACATGTCGGGGCCGGCTTGATACCGTACAGAGTAAATCCAAACAGCGACCAGGCCAGCGTGAACAAAGGCGCACACAGGCGGGTAGAGCATATGAAGGATGTGAAGTGGAATCTTGGTGATCCACATGAAGACAGCCAAGATACCGAGGACAAGGTTGTACCGGGTGATACTTTTAGAAGAGAATCGGGTTAGTTTGGAGATTTGCTCTCTCTGCGGAATTTGAGCATCGGTAGCTGTTAGGAGTTCAAAAAACATACAGTGAGCTCCAGACCATTGGGGTCGTGAACGGGCGGTGATTAGCCGCAGCGTAGAGGGCCTCATTGGGGGCACTGTTGAAGCCATTGTCGGCGCCATCCTGCCAGAGCTTCGTGCGGTAGAGATCATGATTCGCGATACCGGTCAATGTTAGGATGATGACCACCAGCGGCAACTCAACGCCCATAAGTATGTACAGGAGGTTATGATTCCGCCATCGTGTCGGGAAGTAAAACTTCTTGGAACCGAACATGGTGAGGGAGGGAGAGCACTGAGTGTAAATAGTACTGTTTCTCTATTCAATGCCAAGATCTTTCTTCAGATCTGGCGGACGGGGGACTGTGAAAGAAACCGTCCCTCTGAAACCCGGAATCCTGCGTTGTCTGGCGCTTCGAGCTCGTATTCTCACCAAGATGCGTTGGAATGAGCCAGAGCCGGCTGGCTGGGCGTTTTCAGTGCAGGGACATCAAAGACAAAGCCGGACAAGCTGAAACGCGAAATTATAGGCAGAGAGGATAAGTTCCTTTGCAAGCAGGAGGGAAGGAATCAGAGAGGGCGTCTGTTGGGAAAGGGAGGGCGCATAGATATGAAGTACCGGCGCCTCCCCGTAGGGAAGGACCCCCAGGTCGAATGGTCCGGATTCCATGAGCACGATGCGGAGAGGGGCAAACGATCACAAAGTATGGCGGAGAGAGCACTGGTTGCATGTTTCTTACACGTGCATCTGGCCAATGCGTGTCGGCCAGGAAGCGCCCGCACTTAGGGCTTGTCGCCAATGAGGCGCCAGAGTGGGCGGTTTGGCTGCCGGCCGTCACACACTAGAGCCGTGTGATGGTGAAGAAAGATCTGCATGCACGCCTCGAGAGGCTTGCTTCTGCAATGAGGGGGAGTAGGCCTGTCAAAGTCTAACGACTCACAGGTAGTCGTTGAACGGCCGTGCTCACTTGAGATCGAAGCGCTCGGGTGGAGTATCCAGCCATGACTGGTGCTGCTGCTGTGACGGCTCATGCATGATTTGAGGTTGAGTATTGCCCTCATACGAAAGGCATAACTGTGTCATCAACTGTACTCTCAAATGTACGCTTCTATATAATCGTAGAAGTCAAAGACTGAAGCTGAATTTCTCGAATCTCCATGATGGTAGTAGTAGTTGGAGATGGTTGGAGGATGGAAAGAGGAAATGCGAGCGGCCGAGCACATGACATGGACGTCACCACCTTCTCGAATCACAGCTCACTTTACAACCATATTGTCTCTTGCACAATCCAAACGAATCACTGCGAAGTCAATAGTCAATCATAAATCCAGAACCTCGAATCAAGCGCTCGGGTAAGGTATTATCAAACCGCGCGGATCTACGGAGTACCCATCACCAAGATTGATGTCTCTGGATGCGCCGTCACACCGTGCTACGCGGCCTGTCACGCCATCTCCAACAATCCCGGGGTCTCTTTAAGCGCCAACAATCGGCTACCACGCTACAGCGTCACCAGATGAGCGCAGCAACAAATGGGAAGGGCACATTGCCCCATCAAATGCGCACTGCCGCCGAGCCCCGCCAAAACCGACTATACAACGTCCGCCTGGCGCATATCGAGCAGGTCAACCCATGTGTGCGACTGCTGCAACTAACCATTCCTCGAGAGGTGCAGAGTCCGGAGGATAACGCGCAGGAAAGTGATCAAGAAGTAAGAGCTAACTTCGATTCCGCACGACCTTCTCTCTTCCCACACTCTGTCGAACCAATTGCTTTACCCCCTCAACCACTCATCATACTAACCACGTCCTCCCCACACAGTCCCACCCACAACCATTGACCTTCCTCCCAGGCCAGTGGCTCGACGTTCACATCCCCTCCATCTCCAACGCAGGAGGCTTCAGTATCACCTCCACCCCCGCGGACGCACAAGTCCTTCCCTCGCTGGCCGAAGCAGCTTCCGTGGAAGCCATCGCCAACGATGAAGCGGGCCTGGCCCCGCTCAACCCTGAGGGTCGATCGCCGTACGTAGAGCTCGCCGTGCGCCACGCGCCCTCGAATCCGGCCAGCGCGTGGCTCTGGAAGCCCACAGAGGAGATCCTGGGTTCCGAGCTCAGCATCCGTGTGGGAGGGAGCTTTGTTTGGCCGCCGTCCGGGGTGCGGTTGACTGATATCCGGAATGTGGTTTTCATTGCGGGCGGAGTGGGAATTAAGTGAGCTTGCCCCGCTTCCTCTCTTTGTTGCGATCTATATAGCATTGATTACCCTGGGTTAGTCCGCGTCTCTGGATTGGCCTTTCCTATCCTTGTGTTGTCACGAAGCGAACAGGGGTGGTTTGGGGCTGCGGGCAGTACGAGATGTAGTTCCCGTTCGGCTTTAAGCATCTTCGCTCCCCTTGTCCCTCAAACCCCAATGGTCTCCTTCTCCTCATGATCATATAACCACAAAAGAGTCCAGCTGACAACATCTAAGTCCCCTCATTTCCATGCTCTCCCACCTAAACAACGACGACGAGGCAACCACCACTCTCCGCCATCCATCCTTCAACATTCACTTCCTGTATTCCACCAAACTCCCCCAACCAGAGACGACGACGACAGCAGCAACAGCAACAGCAACCACTATCCAATCCCCCGAAAGCCTACTGGACCAGATCCTCTTCCTCTCTCGCCTACGACATATCGTAAACATTCAGTCGCAGCTCCGTCGTCTCCGGATCACGCTGCACCTGTTCATCACGAACCTAGACGAAGAGAAGAAGAAAGATTCCTCTCCGCTCTTCGGACACTCATTCGACGATGATAATGACCTGCGGATACATGGTCGCCGGATCAACGCCGACGATCTGCGGGCCGCCGCGGCAAGCGGGGACGATGGGACGATCGAGCCAGGGAAGACGGTAGCCTACGTGTGCGGACCGCCGGGCATGACAGACGATATCGTTGGGAGATTGGAGGGGTTACTTGGTGGTCGAGAAAGGGTATTCTATGAAAAATGGTGGTAAGACCATAAAAAAAAGGGAGCCATAGTGTAAAATGGTATGTGAGAAAGTAGAAAAGAACTGCTGTAGTATTCAGTAAGGAAAAAAATCGATGACAGCAATAGTGCATTCAAAATAGCAAATCAATCTTTTGGAAGGGTAATCCTGCAAAACAATGCCGCCCCCCCTTCCTTTTTGCCAATGCCTGCAGATGCCGGTTTCGAGCTCACACATAGGTATAGGTATAGTACAAAGAAACAAGTCAAAGTTTACTCCGGTTTGTGATCGAAGATAAAAGCCGAGCCGTGGAGCTAAATGGAGCCCTGTGTCAATGAAAACGGATATGAAAGAAGAAGAGAAAAGAAGCCTCTTAATGAACTTAAAGTTCTGGATCCGGTCCCTTGACCGTACCTCCATCAATGATCATCATCTCGTCGATGCGGCCTTCAGTCTCGCCATGCTCAAGCCGCTTGTAGGTCATAACGCGACCGGGGTTCATGTCGAAGTCATAGAACCGCACCCGTCGCACGTAGCCCCCATAGCCTCCGTAACCGCCAAACCCGACTCCACCTCCATAGCACATCCAAAGGGATGGCTTCTCTTCGTGATCACGGTTCAGCATGCAGTAGTCGTTGACGTGGTCACTGGGGGATTTGTTAGCGCATCTGTATCTGCAGGTTCAATATGAGAGACACCTACTGTCCACAGCTCACAAATAGAATGCCCTCTTCTTCCATAGCGTCCTTGAAGCCCGAGTTGAAGCCCGGAGCTGTTGGAGCCTCGGACCAGTTTCCACGGTAGTAGTTGCGAGAGTCGCGGTACTCGGGCACAGGAATGTGGATGAAAGCCATATTCATGTGCATGTGAGTGTATTCGTGGTGCTTGGTCCGCAAGCTATGAGCAGTGTTCTTAAACCAATGGATTTGGGTAGGTTTGATCCAATCGTAGCCGCGGAATTGACGCTCATCAGGGGAGTAAGAGTGGCTATCCAGCAAGTACAGAGTCAGAGCCGAGTGCTGAGTGCTTCCGCGGCCCAGGACTTCCACATAATAATTTCCAACGCCGTCCACTTCCTCAGGCCCCGCCCTCGAGAGCGAGTATGGCAGGTCCTCCAGTATTGTCATTAATTCCAGTCGGGAAAGGTCCCCCTCATCGTCATGGTTGCCGAAAATAGCCGCGTAGGGGATCTTGCGATCGACCAGCAACTTCACAGACTTGAAGAGTGCGCTCTGCGCATCCTTGGCCGTCTCGCCATTGACCTGATCTCCGCTCAAGACGACCATGTCCGGCTGCTCTTCGTCCAGGAGCCGCTCCACAAACTCCAGTGTCCGGGGATCAGCTTCGCACTTCTGGCCCGGAATCGACTCCGCTGGCACGGGGTCTCGGCATGCTCCAAGGCCCGTACTCAAATGCAGATCTGCGAGCTGCATGATCTTGAACCGCCCGTTCTCATTGATGCGAGGCACTGGCTTCTTCGTCTTGGTGGGATCGCCCCTCCGAACGCTAATCCGGGCCTCCAGGGCCTCCGTCCGGCTATCCAGTAGCAGCGGGGTATCCTTCACTTCCCAGCCAATACGAGGGTCCACGGCATCCGCGCCGAACAGAACATCGACGGCCGTGATCGCCTTCTGCGAGTCACTCGCATGCCGCTTGGCGGTCCGCTTCAGCCAGATGCCTCCGGGTCTTTGTTCCCACGTCTCCTTTTCGTCCTCGGGCTTATCTGAGTATTCTGGTACGAGTCGGCTGATCTTGAGGTCAATGACCACTTGGTCGCTGGCGAGCAGCTCCTCCTCTTTCTTGCGCTCGAAGCGGACGAAAGCGCTCGAGGTCCAACCGGTGCGGAGGTAAAGATCCTTCTCCACCTGCGACCATGCCGTCTGTGGGTTTGGTTTGCAGCTGGAAAAGACATTCACGGACGAACAGGTGACAACTGTCACATCGGTGACGACGAGGCCGTTGTAATGGGACGGAAGGTGGCCATGGATGGAGGCAGGGAGGACGCGGAATCGGTTGTCCAAAACCACGACGAGGAGAGTGACAAAGGACGCGAAGATGGCGAGCTGCACGCCCGCTCGAACCTGAGAAGAGACAGTAAAATTAGCAAGGAATCTCGTCGAAAGCGAGCATCAATCTCAGGGATGCACAAACATACAAGTCGGCGTGTCATGCTAAAAGTGGTAGTGTTAATTGGTGGTACCTCTGGCCAGTGCTAAAGAGATGTGTGAAGCGGCCACGAGCACAGGAGCATGTTGAAACACACAAGCACTGCACAGAAGATTCAGGGGCTTGCCAAAGAGAAGGACCTGATCACCGGTCATCTCACAAGGGGCCCTTGATGATTTTCTTTCGAATTCAGGAGGGGAAAGAAGGCGATCCGTTGTTTGGCCTGCCCCAAGCGGAGTCCGCCCCCAGTCCCTACCATGTCGGGAAGGCGGTGGCGGAATGGTCACATGGTTCTGGCCCGTCAAATCGGAAGCTGGACGGGAGCTAGCCCTTTGCAGGTTAGCCAAAGGGGAACCCTGCACTAGCCTCGTTTGAGATATTTGGTTCATCCCCATTTTATGGTAAGCTGCCAGTTGATACCAGCTGAACAAAATTGAATGTCATGTCTATCTATCATTGTAGAGTCTAGCACTTGGCCTGGCTATATGTCTATGACCTTGTAGTCTATATCTATTGCTGCCAAAACTGCCTCTCGTTCAGGCCTTGTTGGCTCCCTCATGGGCCTTGTCCAATCCTTCTTGAGCCACTTTCTTCACAGAGACCTTGCCCGCCAGGATGTCCTTAGTCGTCGCAAGAATCGACTCCCAGCTTTCGAAGAGAGTGAAGGGAACACCTTGACGCTCGCAGAAAGTCACGAGGTCTGGAAGTGTTAGTCAAGCCACTTCAATCAAACGATCCTATAAGAAGCCTACCTTTGCCCTGCTTAGCGAACAGCAGATCCGTCTCTGCCGCAGCAGACAGATCAGAGACCCCATCGCCCGCGTACAGCAAGGTCGGGCGCACGTTGTCTGGTAGCGCGGCGTAAGGCTTGATTTCCAAGGATTTGTCGTGGCCGAAATGGCTAGGGATATGACGTCAGCTGTGTTTGGACTGGTTACGAGGTCCAAGTGCGAGGCTTCTTACCTATCATCGTGGTACTTGATTTTCCAACCACCCTCGCTGTTTATGTCCTTACCATCGCGGCTCTCAACCTCATTTGCAACGATGTAGAGATGGTCGTCTGGCTTGCCGCCCAGCAACGCCTCGAACAGGGCACTGATCACGGGGATCATGCCGGAAGACAAAACAACGATCGGCACATTGTTCTCCCGCGACCAGTGGTAGAACTCGACGAAGTAGGGGTCTAGCTTCATGTTTTTCTTGAGGTACTCGATACACTCATTGTAGGGGGTCTTGATACTGTCTAACATGTCGCGGAAGGAGTCACTAGGTTTGGGTGTTGGAGATTAGCCGACCGTCAAGAAGCCGACCCTGTTTTGACGGACGTACCGGAAGCTCATTGTGCCTTCAAGGACCGCCAGGTTCCCTTCGCGGCGCTTGTCGCGCCCATAACCCAGGTTATCGATCTTGCGAGCGAAGTAGAGAGTCAGTCAAAGACAGCGAAACATTGAATCGACGGGTTGGGAGACTACCATAGCATCGTTGCCTGTTCAAGTTCATTAGCAGGTTTAATAAACTGACGTCACGGTCAGAGCAAGCTTACTGTCTTCAAGAGTGATTGTGCCATCGAAGTCCGTAAAAAAGATGATTTTGGGGTTGGTCTTCATGTATGGAAGATTGGAGGCGGCCATGGTCGGTACTTGTCAAAGGGGCGTTTGATTCGTGGTTCTTTTCTCTAGTCCTGCAATGTCAGACACAACTTTATGCAATATTGATCCAGCGAAATCACCGATCAGGCTTAATCCAGAGGGGCGAACAAGGACGGGATGCGGACAACTGGCGCTGGGGAGCGGGGCCGACAAACCTGATTGAGGGGCAGGGGAAGGCCGCGGCGGGTGAGCGGACAACTGGGCACGAAATGGTTCAAGAGAATGATCAAATGAATGATGCTCACAGTCTTGAGGAAATTTGAGAGAGAGAGCCCCGCGTTGGAGAGGGGGGAAGAAAAAGGAAGAGAGTCAGCAGTCCAGCAGCTAGACTCGATCAGTGAAAGAGTGGATAATCACGAAACCCGCCATAGAGCAAAGATCAATTGGGCCACGCTTGACACTTGAGTCAGTCGTTAGATCGGCGGAGTTTCCCCAGATACTGTGCCAATTCGAGACTAGTTCATCAGTGAATTGTATTCTTTTTTCCGCAATGGAAATCGTTCCTGGGGCTCGGGGTCAACCTGCGCCCGCCGCTTTTATGGAACAAGACGGAAGGCATCTCGGAGCTCTTCCGGCCACTCACTTCAGTCTTTCTATGAAGACGCACCGCCCAGTCATGCTGGGGGCGGAGACAACAACGGGAGCGGACCGTCTCTTCAGGTGAGGAGACTGCAGGACTGCAGTCTCCTGTGTCAAGATATCGCCTGTATCGCATTAGTCTCTTAAAGATCATGTGAAAGAACTCTCTTGAGGTGTTATACCAGCAGTTGTCTCAGGTGCTTGAGTAACCATTGTTGACCAGATCAAGAAAGATAAGACGGAACAGTGGAAATCCTGCCCAGCACACGCACTCTTGAGACATCTCCACGTCCTCTCTCCGCCGGCCGGGGTACAAAAAGCGGCGCGAGTCGGACCGGCACCGGATAAGGAAAGCGTAATCGGTCCCTTTCAATCGGAAAAGTTTCGTTATGATGCAGTAGAAGTCAAACAACCTTCTTGTCATTCCCCTCGGATCGTTTGCCCTCAATGGCGCGTCTGCTGCAAGCACTGCGTCGGATCTTGGGACCGACGCCTTCAGCTGCGCCCAAGACCCCAAGCCCGAGTCCTTCATTGCCATCGCAACCCATCGCCCGCCGTTTTCCATATATTGATACCAATTTTACCTATCTCCGGGGTAAGGGGATCACACCCGCCTGCGATTGCTGTTATGTGTGTACTGATACCTAAATGTCACTAGAGGGAGATAGAGCCGTCGTCGATGGGAAAACGCCTCTGTTAACCAAACCACTGCGCAAGGGTGGCCGGACAGATGTCCGTCGGGGGAAGTTGGAGCATGACGATATTATCGGCCGGAGAGTGCGAGATCTGATCCCGTCACATAAGGGTATGTTTACCTTTGTGCCATCTTGTACCACCAAGACGAGAAGATAAATAAGCTAAGCGCTGACCCGTACATCTATCCAGGCCCGGAATACAGGCTCTATCTGCCCACTCTCGAAGAATATGTCGCACTGACGCCTCGCCTGGTGACACCGGTATGCACAACCACCACAACAAGCTGGTCCCCCGTCTAACGGAAGATCCGCAAACTATCTAGATTTACTCCGCAGATGCCAATCTAATTGTCTCCCTCCTCGACATCCACGTGGCGCCTTCCTCCGATCCCGAACAAGCTCCTCTCGAAATCCTCGAATCCGGCACCGGCCATGGGTCCTTGACCCTCCATCTCGCTCGTGCCATCCAGGGCGCCAATTCCATTCCACCTCCGTTTCCAACAACCTCTCAAGTCAAAGACCTCGTTCCCTCCCGTACCTCCTCGCAAACACCTTCATCAGAACCAACAACAACAACAGAAGCAAGCCCAGAACCCGCCACCCCCTCAACTTCTGCCTCAGTCACTACCACCACCACCACCTCAGAAACAAACCCCACCGATTCTCTCGCCACCCAAACGATCTGGGACAACTGGCGCTCTCAGCGCAAAGCCGTCATCCATACCGTCGACATCACCCACAAAACCGCCCGCCACGCCGAAACCCTCGTCCGGGGCTTCCGCCGCGGCATCTACGCCGGCAACGTCGACTTCTACTCCGGCCCTGTCGAGACCTGGGTCGCTGCGCAGAAACAGGAACGTAGCCGTTCCGCCGCCTCGACCGCCGAGGCCGATAACCAAACAACAACCACAGCTTCAGAGCCGGAAGTGGAAGTGGACCCGTTCCTCTCGTACGCGATCCTCGACATGCCCTCCTCGCACCTGCGCATCCCGCACGTCACCTCGATCCTGAAACGCGACGGTCTGCTCGCGGTCTTCACGCCCAGCGTAACCCAGATCGGCGACTGTCTGGAGTTGATCCGCCGGGAGCGGTTGCCGCTGATTCAGGAGAAGGTGGTGGAGCTGGGCAATGGGATCAGCAGCGGGCGGCTGTGGGATGTGCGGCATGCGACAAGGAAAACCAAGGAGACACTTTCGGACGCTGGGGCCGGCGCTTCTTTTTCCTCCTCCGTGCCGGAGGAGGGGGTAGAGGCAGAGCAAGAGGGTGCGGTTGGTGAGGAGGTTGCGGAGGGGACAGCGGCTTCGGCCTCGGCTTCCAGCTCGGTGGACGAAGGTGCGGATCGGGTGCTGGTCTGTCGACCCAAGGTTGGCACCAGGATCGTGGGAGGTGGGTTTATTGGTATCTGGCGGAGGATTGAGGATTGGAAGGTGAAGGAGAAGGTGGCCACCAGTACCGACGCCTAGGCTACGCGACACACCATGTATAGCCGATTTCCCCCCAGATGTAATTATACCCTTTGTCTATAAAATAGTTAGAAATAGATTGTTGTGACTGCCTATCCATTTTGGACCATATCAGTGGCCCTGGCACCTATAGTTACTATGAACACCCCTCCAGTCAAAAGCATATACAAAACCCCATTACCTAGACAAGTGTCTGACGAATTATCGGAACTACAAAATTCTTCTACGGTGTAACAGCAAAACTACAAGTGACGAGGAAAAAGAGCAGCGCTCTCAACCAACCAACCACACCATCAGACTCTTCAAAAGGGGATAAAAAGAACCAAATCTTGCTTTCTGCATCTCCAAATGGTGAAAAAAACACAACGAACGAATAAATCGTATCAGGGTTCAAGACTATGTAACCCAACCGACCAGCCAACCCATGCATACACACAACATCAGCAACAGCAACAGCAACATGACACCATTCGCCTGTCTTGAGTGCAAAAGGACGAAAAGAGTTTCAAACGGAGGAGGGAGGGCAAAAGGGAAAGAACCCGAAGAGAGATGTCAAATTCGGGACCAGGATCCAATCTACAAGTAGATCACGAAGCCGACGGTAGGAAGCCAGAGAGAGAGAGAGAGAGAGAGAAAGAAGAGGCGGAAGGAAGCGTCGTTAAGGGAGAAAAAAAAAAGAGCATAAGACAAATCCTAACACATACCAACGGAGAGAAGCGAAAAGATTGAGAAAGAAGAAAAGCTGCTGCTGCGCCATGGAAAAAGCTACTTTCCAAAGAAAATCCGGGGATGCAGGTTCGGCTGCATGAAAAAGTCCCCCCACCGGGCGACAGCAGAAACAAGAAATAGACTCACAAGAAGAAGAATGGTAAGAGTGGAAAAATGCAGCACAAGCAAGGAAGCAACTGAAGAACACCACAGACACGCGAAAGGCCCCCAAAGATTCCGAGATAACAAGATAAACCGGCTACACAAACACCAGTTCTCGTAAGATTCAACATGCTCCGTTCCCTCAATTCCGTTGCGGTCCAAAATCCGCTTCCACAACCTTGCCCTTTTTCCCTTTAATGGTAAACTCCGCAAATAATGCGATATGATCACTTGGAAAATGAAAGTTGGGGAATCCGGGCACTTTCTGCAGATAGTCCTTGTCCACCTCCCCAAGTAACGCCGACACATGAAGTGTATTCGATGAAAACCAGATGTAGTCCAGAATATCCTTGAAATCCGGCGTGTAGTTTGTGAAGCTGAGCTCGCCGATGGAATTGTAGGCAGACTTCAGCTTGAACGGATGCGTCATACCAACTCGGCTGAGGTTGCCGTAAAGGCGCTTCTCCAGATCGGGATGTGCCTCCGTAAGCCGGCCATTGGCGACCAGATTGTAGGCCGCTGATCCAGGCGCAGAGTTGAAGTCTCCGCACATGAAGAGCGGGATCTGCTCGCCGCTGCTATACTCCATGGATGGCGCGCATTCCGGAGGGTTTTCGGTCTCATTGCCCCCTGCATCAGCAAAGCGGAACGCCGTCTTTTCGGTACAGGCAGGCCACTTGGCATATTTGTCGGAGAGCTTGGTGATTTCTTCCATCAGGATGGCCGTTTGAATCAACTTGACATCCTTGAAAGCGGGATCCCAATAGAGATGGGCATTGACAACGATGAAGCGTGAGCCAGTTAACCGGTTTTCCAGGAATACGACAACAGCAATGTGATCCTTCTGCCAAAGGCGGTTATAGATGTCGTCTTGGCCCTTGGCGTCGGGCCTCCGTACGGCCGTCTGACCGAAGTTGATCAACTGCTTGTCGAGGAGAATGAATTTGCTGTCTTTGAAGAAGGTAGCGCAACCATCGACATTCTTGGCTTCCTCCTCTTGCATACCCATGGCGCGTCCTCTAGGCCAATAAACACCCTTGTAATTGTTGTACGCCAGCTGCTCCCTGAAGAATCCATTGTAGCTTCCCTGGTCGACTTCCTGAAGACAGACAATGTCCGAGTCGTGGGACCTCAACTCGCTCAGGATAAGCTCTCGTCTATACTCCCATGACAGCGCACGTGAAGGAGTATAGCCGAAGTGGGATGCAGTGGCAGACGATTCGCACAGCGCGTTGTAAGAGAGAACGGTGACCTTCTCGGTGGGAGCGTTGCGGGAATTCGCGGTCTCGTCCAGAATGACCCAGTCTCGATCGGGTGGTGAAAGTTGAACTATGGCTAAAACGTTAGTTATCAACTAAGTGATGCGGACATTCTCCGAGCCGTATACATACCTGGCATTTCTTCCCTCAGATACTTGATCAGAGCTCTCGTGCCCTCCTTGATGATCTGAGACTTCAAAACGTCGTTCAGCGGGTTTCCTTCTATACCCAACATCTCCAGCCTGTACAAATAACCCATTTCGTAAGGTAGCGTGCGAATATTGTTGTCAAAGAGCAGAAGTTGTTTCAAGCTTGTGAGCATACCAATCTCCTCGGGAAGCTCGGTAAGGTCGTTGCTCGAAAGATCCAAGTGAGTCAACTTCCGCAATTGTCCAATGGCCGGAGGAAGAGTTTTGAGCTTGTTGTGGTTCAGATACAATTTCTCGAGAAAGGTGTAACTGAAGAGGGACGACGACAGAGCCCGCAAGCCTTGTCCGCCGAAATCGAGAGCATGCCAACCTTGCCGCGAGGATGCTTTCGATTTGACAACGCCATTTCTCTCTTCACCTCCATTCTCTTGTGGTTCGGGATGGCTGGGCGCGATCTGAATGCCTTTAGTCTGCTGAGCAACTGTCCGAGCATAATAGTGGGGTGAATTGGCCTGTCGCGACTCCGCCGCTAGTTGAAGCTGTTGCTGCCAATGTTCGTTCATGGAGTCCTCGAGTTCCTCCTCAACATTGACATGAGCCCCGTTCTGGAGGGGACCGGGAGTGAAATGCGGAGTAGCGGCAGCCAATGCCCCGCTGGAGAAGTTGTGTTGGTGGCTAATGTTGTGGGAAGCTTGGTTATGGTGGGCATGGTGATGGGGTTGCTGAGCAGGATGCGGATGATGGCTTTGCGACTGGAACTTAGGCATCTGCATGCCAAAGCGTTGGTGGGTCTGGCCGCCATTTATCATGACATGCTGCCCTTGGTGGGTTTGGCTGTACATCGTGAAGGGATTGAGAGCCGCTGCTTGGCTGAGAGGAGGGGAGCGGGAGGGTGAAGGGGTCTCGTGGCTAAATTTTAGTCTTCCAGTCGGGGAGTTGGTCCCGTTCCGTGCGAGGTGACGTTGGTGAGAGTGTTGTTGCGCTTGTGTTTGGAAGAAGAACTGCCCGGCCCCAGGCTGCTGGAACCTGTAGGTACCATCTGCCATTTAACGTGGCAGACGAGACCGTGAGTGGACTGATTGGGGAAAGGTTCTAGAGCAGATTGAGGCTGGACGAGCCGGTTTGGAGAAGGTGACGGCGGTGGCAGGAGAGAGAGGAGGATTCGGGGACTGGATACGTTCTCTCCTTCTCTTCAACATGGGGTCCTAGGCGGAACCACCCCAATTCGGACACGCAGGGGATCACGAGTGCAGCGACTCTCACCACTTGTTGGATGGTCTGGTGCGGCTTGAGCTGGAGTTCCAATAAATCGGATGGGGGGACGGAGGGGCGATCGAGGTGCAAGCGACGGAGGGGGTGTGGGCAGGCGGGTGGGTGGTCGGAGCGAGCGAGTCAGAGGATCGGAAGACGATTAACTGGCCAGAATCCTGAATATGAAGTTGAGCAGCGCTCTCAGACAGCCGGTATAACTATCAAAGTGAGGAATGCGCGCGAGCAATCGAGGAAACGATGATGTAGCAGAGACGCCAGCGACTCGAAGAGATAGATGGGAGACGGAGTCGCCTTGGGAGGCTCCGAAGTTGGTTTGCATTCGAAAGGCGGGAGGTCGTCGGGGTCACGTGGTGTCACATCCAAGCGGGCGCAGTTCGCCGCCAATGGCAAAGCCAAGGCCACCCTTCCTTTTCAGCTGATGCTTAGATTGATTGATTGATTGATTGATTGATTGATTGATATTGATCGCCTATGGCTTTCGTCTTTTCAGTCGATTCGCTCTTCTGCATTTCTGTTTCTTTCTGTTACAACAAATCCCTTGTTTCCCGCAATCCAGGGTTGAACAACTGTAGTAAGGTAGCCCAAGGCAGCCTCAATTCACTCTCCCCAATTGATATTCAGGTAGCTTTTAACTATTACTCACCACTCTGGGAGCCCAGGGATCTACGGGGAAGGGAGGGGCTACTATTGACAACGGCAAGGGCCTAGTCACATAGTCACCTACAAGTACTAACTAGCATTAATGCTAAGAGATGTAGGGGGTGCCTGTCATCCTTCTTGCCAGATCTCCTATTTACATATCTTTCTCCATTGTCCATCGACAATCGGGTTTTATTCAGACTGCGGGTTTATCCGTGCCGTCCCTCCACTCACAGTCAGTTTACAACATTATTGGAGACTTGTTGGTGGTTTGAACAGCTCAACAACCTGCCTTCACACTATCTTATCTCGATTTAATATAAGGAAATGCTAGGACCTCTTTGACAATCTCGCTTGCTTCCCCGCAGAGGGAACAATGGTGCTGACTACGACCCTCCACCCCCCTTTCCCCCTGGTCAACCGGAACCTACAGAATGGCAGTTCAAAGCTAAGAGACACCTGGAGTGGGGTAAAGATCTGGCTATTTCCCGCCGCCCTTTGCAGCAATCGTCCTAAGGCGTATGTTTGAAGAGGTACACTAGTATACTGGACACGAAACAAAGTACTGAGATTGTCCGACCATCTTGCATGGTTAGTAGAGTTTACCAACACCTGAGCAGTGGGACAATGCGCACATCTACCCAAAGATCACCAGCGATTGTCGCTAAACAGCGCTCAGGGGGTGTGCGTTTCTTCTCATACTTTCTAGGATATTCTATTCACACCACCAGTCGATCATCGGGTTGAACCTGCCAGGATTTCTGCCCAGGGGCTTGAAGTCGACCATTTCGACACTCTCTATTTGTTTTCAAAACAACGCTTCAAACCATTGATCTTGCCCCTTTATTGAGTCCACCCACTTGTCGGAAGGGTGGCAAAGTCGCAGCGGAAGAACACAAAATGGCACAACGGAGGATGAGGGTAGAGCATATCAGATGATCGATGTCATGTCAAATTGGTTCTCCACTCACTTCACTTGGCCACTGCCACCACTGATGGTTGCCACTGGCGGAGTCAGCCAGGGTCAGCTAGAGTGCTCGAATCAACATTCACAGTAAGCTTACTTGAGCTGTCAGAATCAGGTGGCACCTCGATCTCGATCTTGTTCAGAAAAGACTGTACTCAGCTGGAGCTGAGCTGTTTACATTCCTGCCAACTCGGCTCCTGTTACCACAGTCAACCCAGACTGCCTCGACTCTGATTGAAGCCAGTCTCTAGCTTGAAGCTGTATTTACTCCATATCCTGTCAACACTAAACAGTTCAATACGTCTCATTCTCCTAAGTTATATACGCTTCAACTTTGCTTCCAATAATTTGAGTAGGTTTGCTTACTGATTGAATACTATCGCGCTTTGCAGGGGCTTTTTCAAAGTGTGCTTTGACACTGTGCTGAGCAGCACTGGCCTTGATGTGAAGACCGCTGTATCTATAGCCTCAAGATATAGTTATAAAGTATACTAAATGCAGAACATCGATGGACTACTAGCCAATCCTGGAAAATTAAGTCTGATAATTGAACCCCAACGATTTAATTCTGAGGTTTCATGAAGATCTTATAATCCAATTGTGTCAGTTGGATAGCACAACTTCATGTCCTGCCTGCACCGAGAATTCGAAGGGTGGTTCATGAGTTTTGGCTGAGGATGAATCAAGCGATGCAGGTCAGACGAGATTGCTGGAGTCAAGATCCAAGACCGAGGTTCTCTATAGAACGCCTTACAATGCGTTCAACCTGTTCCTGGAGCCTCATTTTTATCCACCTATAATAGACTGGCAATTGGCCACTGTGAGTATACTAAGTATGATCCTAGACTAATTATAAGTCGAGCCCCCTTTCAGTTTACCTTCACAGGGAAGATGACAAGCTACACGGCCAGAACTATACGGGATAGTCAACCATAACAGCCTTATGCAAGATACACAAAGTACTCAACAACAAGCTGGGGGTAAGCCATCTGAACATCACAGAACTTCTGGTTACTCAATTCTGCCCCCAGCTCGCCATTAAGCAGCCTTTTATAATCCACGAAAGCACAGCCATAGCAGTAGTACTGCACACAGATGCACAAACATATACATGCAGAGACAATCTAAGCATTGTCAGTCCACGCCCCACCACTTTTAGAATGCAAGGGGGGCAAAGAAGAAGACACACAGACAAGGCAGGGGTCAACCTGCGTTCGAAACAATTCCTTTAAATTCTCAACTAACTAGTAGTTAGCGACCGACCCTGGAGTCGGTACCCAGGCAGTGGTACCTCCCCGTCTCTCCCTGTCAGGGCAACAAGTGACCCGTGCCAGCACGTGTCAGTGGCCCCCTCCCCCCCAATTCCTTTCTCCTCGGGGGGCCGGCAATGCACATAGCCTAGGTGACTTCGGTTTATAGAACCACCCACCCAGCCTGGCGGGGCGTTAGACCGACCCAGAGGTTTCATTGAGTAATGAAAATCCATCTCGTCAATTGAGTCAGTCGACTCAGCATGGGAAATCATCTTCCCTGGCCACGATCTAGACTGCCATTTGCACTGTTGAAGTTCTTCTCTCCTCGGTGGTCGTGTTACCTTCGACTATGCAATTTCTCCCTCAGGGAATGAAGCCTCAGATCTTTACAGGATACGGTATACAACTCTGACACCGCCAGCGGAAGGCAGAACCATGGTGATGGGTTAACGCATCCCCCGCCGTGCGACGTGCCGCGCCCATTGTCTCGCCTCCCCGTCACCCGTCCCGGAGGGAATCTTCATCTCGGTATCTCAGACAAGAAGATCCACACACCGGAACCCAAGGAAGGGGAAACAACGGATCAGTCGGTTGTCATGATGTCAGACTTTCAGTGACATGCACTACTATTATTATTGTGAATTATATTATTATCATCGCAAATGGCGCCGATACTTCTCTTCCCTCGACGTCCAGGGGCGAAAGACACTGCCTCATTCTCCTCCTACGGTCATATTATAAACACTCAGCCACGAGCTAGATACCCATGTTAAAGCAGCCACTCTTTTCAAGTAACAGTAGCAGTGCAACGTATGGTACCGGTAAGGCAATAGTGAATTCTGATCCCGGCAGAAGATAATCAACAGGAATAAAATAGAAAAACCAAAGACGATCGGGGGCCGGCACCTCGGCGGGAAAGAAAAAAAGACAAGGAGCAGAAGAAAATCCCAACCCAATTAAATCCATCCTACTACTGGAGCAAGCCCAGGACCGAGGGGGGAGTTCGTCACGGAGGAACAACTCCGTGAGACATAGATCCAAACCACACCCAATTTTAACTTCCTGAACTTTACGCAAGTCGCAACCGCAACAGACAGAGAAAGAGAAAGTCCTGTGTGCACGGTGTGGGTGTGTGGTGTGTGGTGTCGTGTTCGCTTCGAACCGTGGGTTTCTTATTGAACTCCCCGGAAGTACCGGTACCCATTTTCTTGGGTTGAAATTCCCAAGGAAAAAGAAGCCCGCCCGCGTACGCCGGGCGTAGGGTAGGTAGTTAGTTTGAAGTAAACTTATTAAGGACCCCGTGCCCGGAATTGGACATACTCGGTACAGTTGGTACTAGACTACCGTAGTACTGTAGTAGACTAGCACGACTTCCCGAGACGATTTTGTCCGGGTAAGGAAAGCGCTACTAACGTTACTACTCAGTACTTGGAAACCAAGGCCGAACACGAAAAAGCAAAAGGGCTGAGTTGTGGTATTTAGTATACATACGGATAGGTAACTTGAACTTCCTGCATAGTACCTCTGTCATGGACTAACTATCTCACGGTCAAAGTTCCGATCAGACGGATCAGATGCCCACACACACCCTCTCGCGTTCTTGCATTGCATTCCCATCCATGCAGTCAATCGGGGGTTGTCCTGATCTATCTATCGCGGGGAAAAGGTTCCGGGAGCTCGGATGCCTTGCTGCAAGTATGTACGGAGTACTGTGCTGGCAGCTCTGGGATAGATATACATACCTTTTGGACAAGTATAAGAGTTGCTTTCTCAAATGTAATGTACTTTGTTCCCGTATCATCCTGGCGTTGGAAATATGATTTGATTCGGCTTCATTCGTGGAGCTGGCGTTAGGGCGAAGATTTGCCGCCACCACCACTAGAAAGTTACTCATCGCTTCCCTAGGCTAGGTCTCCGAGTGGGCATTTCGGCGAGTATTCGGTGCTATACTTTAGACGACGATTTCCAATATCTCCAAGAGCCGTTTCAACGGTGAGGGAGGGGAAATAGATAAATGCTCATTTTCAGTCCACGCTAACAGGCAAGTCAAGAGGGTCAAAGAGGAGAAAAAACAATTAAGGCCAGGCCGGGTCCATTCCAGAAACGTTGGCCTTCCGGGACCACTCACTGCACTTAAGCCTGGAGTCGACGATAGTAAACTACGAAGTCACTAAAGTAAACTACTAAAATTGCGTCGCAACAAGTGGAGTGGCCCTAAGGGGTCATCGAGCCGGGGCGGTTTGATTTTCTTGTCACAATGTGGTTTTCTATTTTTTTTCTGATTTCATTTGATTTGATTTGATTTTTTGCCCCCCTCCTTTCGGCCTGACTGTTTTCGTTTCTTTCTCTCGTTCTCCCCTCCTTTAATCGAAGGAACACCTTCTCCTTCCATGGGTCAGATTGACCTGGAACGGTGTCCGAGCTGCGTAACATTCATCATCACTCACTGCCTCCTTCCTCACCACCACCACCACCACCACTACCACTGCCACTACCACCACCACATTTAATACTGTCAGCCTCGCTTGTCTCGGCCCTTTTTCTACTCTATTTCTGTCGCCATCAACGTATCATGTCCCTCTTAATCGAACTTCTGCCCCGTTCGTGACCGATCTGCGCTGCCACTGTTTGTATGCGGAAGAATGCACATCGTTCGTTCTTAGCAGGTCCCCTCAATTGACGAGCATCCACCACTCCACCTTAACCCTCTGAAATGGATATCATGTCAAATGGACCGGCGGTTCTTGCGCCTGCCGCAGCTTCGGGCTCCGACCTTCATTCCACCGCCAGTTCGACCGGTATAACCCTGGCAGCGACGTCGACCTCCTCCCTCTCCTCCCTCAATGACTACTCCAATTTTCCCTTGAGACGCCATGGCGATCGCACGTATCTCCGAGACCCCGACAACCAGTATCCTCTTCCCTGCGACCTTCCTGAGATACACCGACAGACCTTGCGCTCGCTCATGCTCATGCGCGTTTTTGGTGGGCCGTTCTGCAACCCACATTTGGCCGACTGCGCCCCGAAGCGAGTCTTGGAACTCGCCTGTGGTTCAGGACTGTGGTCAAGCATGTGCCATGATTATTTCGCTCGTCGCGGCCACCGCACCGTGTCCTTCAACGGCATTGACATCGTCTCCGTCGCACCCGACCTGCGCAAAAAGGGTGTGAATTGGCAATTCAAGCGTCACGACCTACGGAAGCCCCGCCTGCCATTTCCCGACGACTATTTCGATTTTGTCTTCATCAAAGATGCGGGTATGTGTCCTTCCAGTCCGGCCCAGCAAGCCTCGGGATTGAGCGAGCCGTTGCGTGTTCTCAAGTCCGGGGGTATCTTGGAAGTCTGGGATTCCGACTGGGTGTTCCGCTCTCTGCTGCCCAATCCGGCACCCGCTCGCAAACTGGCCTCGAGAGAACAAGAGACCGCCGATGCGACCGCGACGTACACCTTCTCGTCTGCCACGCCATTCACGCGCGCCCAGAACAAGTTTCTCCAAGACTACAATACCTGGCTTGAGAAAGCGTTCGATCAGCGGAGATTGACTGCTTTACCATGCGCCACGATGGGCCTATCCTTCAATGCGGAGGTAGACGTCCTTGAGAAGGTCGATAGTCGTCGCATTGCCATTCCGTTGGGCGAACTACGCTGGGAACGAGAGGGGTATGGAAAGGAAACGAGTGGTGGAACTCGAAGACAGTTGACGGCCGATCAGTTATCCATCCGACGCACTGCGCTTCTGACGGTCATCCAAATGATAGAAGGCATGGAGCACATTCTTATGGAGGCCAGCGGGAAGAGCAAGGACGAATGGGATCGCTGGTGGGCAGCAATGATGACCGATTTGTTCCAGAAGGATGGCCTCGCGAACGGGGAGTGCTTGGAAGTGAGTGCTTGGTGGGGTCGAAAGATATAGGCGCCTTTGCCGGCGGCCAGGATCGAGAACTCAACGTTTGGTGTTCAGGCGAATGAGAGGAAAGGAAAAAGAAAAAAAGGAACCGTGACCATTTCTCTTCTCATATTGGTGATACCCCCACGTTTCTCTCTTTTTTTTCTTGGTTCAAATTGCCATAATATTTATTTCTGTATAATTTTTGCTGCGACGTGTGTCGGATGCGGATGGTTGGGTGCTATTTGTTCTCATAGCGCTGTTTCAACGTGCGATACCGCTTGAGGTAGTAGCTGTGTGCTTCCATCAGTATCACTGCTCACACTGCACCCATGTGTTTATAAGTTTATGACATAACGATATATTGAGACTGTACATCCATAGGAAACATCAAGAAATTATGATCAACCGCATCGGATTTGGGAGGGATCAGTGGATAGGTAGCGTGGATCAGTGCTCGTCGGCGAGGTGTCAAAGCAGACGGGAGCAGTAAAGGCATGGGTAGTACTTACAGAGCCTCGATTTCTAGATGTTTGAAGGATAGAAGGTTATTGATTGGTTCAATGAAGCTGCTGCAATTGCAAACAAGTGAGGCGGGATAACGCACCCTTCTTGACGAACTCCGCTCGTGCTATACCTTTCCGAATCTGCTCTTCATTATCCAGGTGTGCCTGACTGCTAAATGCCTTGTGTAGCCTGTTCCGGAAGTAGTCGTAGCCCAGAGGATAATTGCGGCCGAGGAAAAGGAGCTCTGTCGATCGATCAGTCAATAGCCATAGACTTTAGTTACGGTGCTAGGAATTGCTAAGCACAGCAGTGGAAACTTCTGTCAGGGGTGAGATATCACCAACCTTTGTAGATATTGATAACTTGATAGCGCAGTTCTGAGCTAGTCATGATTAATCCATTCAGTGTGAGGAATGTTGAACAGTGAACAGTCTTTGGGCAGAAAGATAGCGACGAGGAGATGAGGAAGATAGGAAGGCGACGATGGGTTGTTGCCGCTTGGTGGGAATGGGGTTGTTTGCTACCGCCGGAACATTACCGATGACGTCGTCACCCGGCGGCCAGTTTTGTATTTCTCGAGCCTACAATCAATCCTACAGGAAGATGCAATCCGTGATCCATATAGCTTATGAAGTGCTTGTACAAGCTAGTTGGGCATCAGAAGTGATTGGTGGTCATGTAGAGTACCCCTTAAGGTAGCAGCGTATACATAAATTTGGCTCGTGCCACCCCTAACAACCCGGCTCTGCGATCTGAATATGACGCTGTATATGATGCTTTACGCTGGACGGACGCTAAATCCACCATGAATGGTAGCAGATATATACTGTAGAATTCCAAAAAGGCGACCCTAGAGGCCCATGTATTGATTCGATTGACTTGGTTCCCAAAGTAAACCTCTGTTGTTGTGGCCTCGACTGGCCTCGGCCCTGCAAGGCCGCGGGAAGACGGAAGAGGAGTGATTGAGTGGGGTTAGCCGAACAGCTCCCCGGCGGAGAACTAACCGACCAGCTTGAGAGGTGCTTCGAGACCATCCAAGCAACAGCTCCATCTACGGTTCCTATCGATGCTATAGTTACTGACCACACCCCTTATCACCACCATGGCACAGCTACAGAGCTTGAGAAGGCAATGCCTCCCCCTACAATCTCGATCCTTCGTAACGACTATTCGGTCTCTCTCGACCTCTCCTTCGCCGCAGAATGCCCCCTCGTCGACAGCGAAGTCCCTTTCGGCAATAGGGCCCACCACGAAGAAGCCACACGGCATTGATCCCCGATGGCTGACCATGACCAAACGTAGACTTGGTCGCTGCATGATGTTCGGTCTTAAGCCGTCACAAATTCAAGAATCTGGCGAATTACTGCAACAGATCGCGCGGGATTGGCGAGAGCTCGTCGCGGGTAGCGAGGGCTATCTGACCGATGCATCGAGAAGAGGCTTATTCAAGCAGGCTGTCGCATGGGGCGAGATGGTACGATGGCCGAATCTCGCATCCCGCTGAAGCGTTTAGGAGCCGTGCTAACAGCCAGATGTCGCTGCGGCGCAATAGGATAGCATGGTAAGCCGACCCCTCTCAATGAATGCTTCTATGTATAGCTTCCTAACCACCTCGGCAGGGTACATATACCTCTCTTACCTAGGATCCGGCTTTGATTCCAATCCAAGTCCGCCAAACACTCTAACGAGGAATTCTAGGGCATGTCAACAATGTCACCTACGCTCGGTACGCAGAAACCGCCCGTGTGTATTTCACCCGCAACTTCGCGATGCACATCGATCCGGCCCATAAAAAGGAATGGATGAACCTCGTCAGCTCCCGAGGGATCGGATTAATCATGCGAAGCATCAAGATCGATTACAAATTCGTATGACCAGAACCCGCTCCCCCGAACGATTTCACGAAACTGATTGCCGAGTTGGCGTGCGTGCGCAGCCGATGATCTACCCCGACCAAGTTACGGTGTATCACAAACTCGTCCACGACCCTGCGGCGCCCGACACATCACCGTATGCATTCCAGCTCCAGGCAATCATCCTCTCGGAGGCGCGCTTCCGACCCGCCGCGCGCGTCCACGAGGATCTGGTCACATATGACTACAAGCAGGCCAAGAAGACCGCGCTCCCACCTTTCCTGTTTGAGCAGCTCAAGAAGACCTGGGAGCTTCAAGAGCAGGCCAAGGAGTATTGGCGACAGCGCATTCTGGACATCGAAGCGCGGGTTCGGGCGCTGGAGGTTGAGAGCTGGGATCGGCAGGATGCCGTTGAGGATACCGGCTCTGCCAAGAAATGAGGACCTCCCCTCCACCAACTTGCGGCTTTGCGGGCCAGACCCTGTGGTTGATTGAGTGGAACCGAGACATGGAGGCTTTGGCTATCCGGTGACAGAAGGCGTTGGCAGTGATTGCCAACTTAGATGCTAGCCAGATACAAGCAAGTGAGCACGAGTTCGTATAGAGCCGCTTAGCGAGCAATAGAAAAAACTGCACTGTCACATGTAGACATTTGTTCGGACGTAACTAGCTCTGTGCCACCGGAACTGTATTGTATATACTAGACGGTGTGGTACCTCCCATCCGAAACAGTCGCGATTTGCCGCACCGCAATGCCTGCCAGTATGAAACAAAGCTGATATGTTCTCATTGAGTGTGGCGGTGCTCCGCCCTAGCCAGTCAGCAAGCTAATTAGTCCCTGATGCTCTTAGGCTGTCAAGTCTCGACACATGCTGACCTGGTCTCGTCGTACTCGTTTACACCAGATATAGCTACTCAGTACCCACGCGAAAGCTACTTCTTGACCTCGATGAAGAGATGCCAATCTTATGCTATGGATCATGCATACCCACGATTCCGCAAAGTATGTTTAGGTTACTTCTGCTACCTAGGTACCGATCGATTTGAATGGTGTCCAAAGGAATCTCGGAAGAAAGCCGACGACGAACCGTCCCGACTCAGCCCTTCCAGCCCTCCGTAAGGATCTGGAGCATTTATGATTGGTCCCGATATTCTTTCGCTGAAGAGTTCGTCCCGAGAAAAGAGTTTTTCTGCTTGCATTTGGAAAGTAGACCAGTGAGTCACTGACAGCCAGCTTGATCGAAACCAGATCTCGTTGACCAATGGGTGAATATTCTGGAAGAGGTCACTCCTCATCAGCCCATCGATCCCCGTCACAAGGGAGACACGGGGAAAACCCTGTCAGGATTCGGAGTGACACGATGAGGAAGAAATCCTCTCTACGTATTGCTTCAATTCCCCAGCCCTTCACTTCAATTGAGGGGAAAGAGCAAGAGAAGGGGGGAAGTTGTGCCCGACTGTAAATAGTGCGAGTTCGCAGACCGGGGTTTGCCGTCTGGAAGTAGTAGATGATCGTCGACGCCTTTCCGCTGGTAGTTCTGGCGGTTTACAGAGTCGTTTCTAGTTCTCTAGCAAGGCTAGTCTAAAACTGCTCTGCTAGCAAAATTTGGGACTCTGGGAGAAAAAAAGGTCGAAGGCTCGAGATTCCTTGGGTCCGGCCGGCGCCACATAAGAGGGTGGTGGAAAAGTCTCCACACCGCGTGGGTCTCTTTTTCTTCGCCTGTGAAAGTTGTGAAGAGTCTCGCTCGCCGAAAATAGATTCGCGCGGGACCGAGGCTGAGTAAAGCTGTCTGTATGGTAACTATCGATGAAGTACAGCGATCTTGCCGGTCCCCGTCCGGACCGAGACGGCCTTGGTGACTGTTGCCCTGGCATATCAGCATCTTATACACGGTTATAGATTTTGTATGTGGAAGAAGGTACATCTAAACTTTGTTTAACCAGAGAGACCTTGGGTGAAATTGGCCACGAGGGAACCGGAGACTTGGTGCGAAGTCTTTACCGTATCGTTATCCCTCTCCAGGGAAGTCCTATGGTACTGTACCGCGGCTTCAGCTAGCAACGAATATAAAGCGGCATCACCTCCATTGTTGCTGGGTCATTGCGAGATGAACTGCTTCCATGTACTGTATCTAGCCGAAACCCCAGATAGAAACGTATGTCTCGAATTGTGGCACAGGAGGACGGATTCTGGACTCAACCGCCGCCGATGTACAGTACACTCTCCCCCCCTTGCATGTGGGAGGTTTCCAATATGCACTTGATGCCACTTGCAGGATGATGGCCGTATCATACGTACAGCAAGTTGTACATCTCATTCTGGGGTACATCTCACCATCTGGCAGGCAGGTGGTCAAGATGTCGAGCCGTACATAATCAAGCATGACCAGCGGAGATCTGACTTAATGATGTTGGGATGGTCTACTCCGTTCTCCGGACAGATTCTATACACAATTTAGTCACCACAAGTTTGTATTGAGTATAAGCCAGGCGGCCAATGAAGATTATTTACAGCTCTCGGATCGCCAGATTGGCTTCTTCACGCTTGGACCTTCGCCTTTATCGAATCGATAGCCTGGAAAGGTCCTTATCTTATTACTTTGAATATATTGGTCTCAATCCGACTTTGCCCTTTCGAGGAGGATTTCCCCATAGCCTAGCACTCTT